GGTCCAGGGAAATTTCCCCTCCATTGTCCAAGACCAACTTGAGAAAATTGTCAGCGGTGCCTTCCAGCATCGTCACCCGTAGTTGCTTCCATGATAACTAGGACTGTTCTTTACCTTGACTCCGTCCTATTTCTTTGGAACTAGTCTGTGGTATAAATAACCATGGCAATTTGACTTTAATTAGGTGAAGAAGGGCAACAACAGTAACTTGTCTTCCACAGATATTATAACACGTGGATGAAGTACAACCAGGGGCGATCAGTCTGATGCTAACTCAAAGAATCATAAAAAAGGGTGTCCGTCATGAATAGGCACCTTCTATAGTGCACCAGGTGCACCCAAGCACCATTTGTCCTTTACGATGCTTTCAGACTTTTTTAAAAATTGGTTACCGGTTATACAAGTTATCAAGTTTTCACTTTTTGAAAATGCAATTGCATAAGGGTCGTGCAATTATGCCCTTCCTATTTGGCAATTGGCATATGATTGGATAGTGATTTACAGTAGTTTGGATATGAGAGTATTATAACATTGTAAGAGGATCCTAAAACTTATAAGTTACAAGATTTGGGTAGCGGTTTACAAGTTTTTGAACCAGGATTACAACATTAGGGTTCACCTAATCCATAATGTTGTAAATTCTCATTTACAAGGATATGGATCCACATTACAATGAATTGGTAACTTCGGACCATGAGGATGTAAATTAGGTCTTTATTCTAGTAAAATGAGGGTTTACAAGACTAAGAGCCGATTTTATAATTTTGGGATACGAGGGTACCATAACCTTGTAAGGAGGATCCAAAAACATGTAAGTTACACGATTTGGGTAGCGATTTACAAGTTTTTGTACCACGATTACAACGTTAGGGTTCTCATAATCCTTAATGTTGTAAATTCTTATTTTACAAAGATATGGATTCATATTACAAGAAATTGATAAGTGCGGACCATGATGATGTAAATTAGATACTTATTCTAGTAAAATGAGGGTTTACAAGATTAAGGGCCTTTTTTACAATTTTGGGATACAAAGGGACCATAACGTTGTAAAGAGGATCCATAAACATGTAGGTTACACAATTTGGGTAGTGATTTATAGGTTTTTGCACCATGATTACAACATTAGGGTTCTCATAATCCTTAATGTTGTAAATCCTTATTTTACAAGGATATGGATCCAAATTATAAAGAATAGGTAAGTTTGGACCATGAGGATGTAAATTGGGTCATTATTCTAGTAAAATAAGAGTTTACAAGATTAAGGGCCGATCTTACAATTTTGGGATACGAGGGTACCAAAACGTTGTAAAATGGATCTATAAACATGTAACTTACAAGATTTAGGTAGTGATTTACAGGTTTTTGTATCACGATTACAATGTTAGGGTTCTCATAATCCTTAACGTTGTAAATCCTTATTTTACAAGAATATGGATCCAAATTACAAAGAATAGGTAAGTCTGGACCATGAGGATGTAAATTAAGGTCCTTATTCTAGTAAAATGAGGGTTTACAAGATTAAGGGCAGATTTTACAATCCTATGGATACGAGGGTACCAAAACATTGTAAAAAGAATCCCTAAACTCGTAGCTTACAAGTTTTTGGTAACAATTTACAAGGTTTTGCTCATGGATTACAACGTTAGGGTTCACCAAATCCATAATATTGTAAATCATATATTTACAAGAATATGGATCCATATTACAAAGGATTGGTAATAGTGGACATTAAGGATGTAAATTGGGTCCTTATTCTAGTAAACAATGGTTAAGGATGGATTTTACAATCTTATGGAACATAAATGTCCAAAATAGAGTAATACGAGACCTTAATATTGTAAATATTTGTGTTTACAAGTATAAGGACCTAATTTACTTTCCTAATGTCCCTAGTTACCTTAATATTGTACTAGATGTCCTTATCCTTGTAAATTACAATATTACAATATTAAGGATGGGTTTTACAATCCTATGGAATACATCTGTCCAGCATAGAATAATACAAGACCTTAATATTGTAAACATTTGTGTTTACAAGTATAAGGACCCAATTTACTTTCCTAATGTCCCAAATTACCTTAATATTGTACTAGATGTCTTTAACTTTGTAAATTAAGATATTACAAGATTAAGGATGGATTTTACAATCTTATGGAACACAGCTGTCCAACATAGAGTAATATGAGACCTTAATATTGTAAACATCCGTGTTTATAAGTATAATGACTCAATTTACTTTCCTAATGTCCTAAGTTACCTTAATATTGTACTATATGTCTTTATCTTTGTAAATTACGATATTACAAGATTAAGGATGAGTTTTACAATCTTATGGAATATAACTGTCCAATATAGAGTAATATGAGACCTTAATATTGTAAACATCCGTGTTTACAAGATTTACCTTCCGAATGTTCCAGTTTACCTTTATATTGTTCTAAATGTCCTTATGTTTGTAAATTACGATATTACACGAATAAGGATTGATTTTACAATATAATGGAACACAAATGTCCAACAGAGTAATACGAGTCTTTACTATTGTAAACCCTTTTGTTTACAATGTAAGGACCTAATTTACTTCTTTAATGTCCTACCTTAACTTGATAAATTCTTTTTAAAATTTAAATATTTTTTAAATACATGTTTACAACATATTTACATTGGACAAAAATCACATTTACAACATACAATATTGAGTTTTTTCAAAAAAAAAAAAAAAAAAAAAAAAAAAAAAAAAAAAACAAAACTATTTGGAATGGGAAGTGAAACCATGTGGAAAACCAAGCCAAAGGTGAAGAACATAGACACACTTGATAACTGGATGTTTACAATTTACAACGAATTGTTGTCAATTGCATTATTCATTTGCAATTTCCAACTAATTGTTTGTCAATTGCATTATTCATTTGCAATTTCCAACTAACTGTTTGTCAATTACATTATTTCCTTTTCATCTTAGGTGAGCCAATCTATCAGTGCCCTTTCCATCTTATGGTCACTTCCTTTGGAATTAACTCATTGAACCCATTGAGATAGAACAATACACGATCACATTTGACATCATTATATAATAAGTCTGCAACATCAAACAAATTACATAAGCTAACACTTAACATCTACCACAAAGAAAGACAACAATAGAACCAGGAAGCTCTGTTGTATCATGTGAAGTGGTTGGAAATTAAAAAAAGCTAGTCAACAATAGTGCTTTATCAGTAAGCAAAAGCTAAGAATATATAAGCTTACAATTGTACTGTTCAGATGATTGAAAATATACAGAAGCTTTGATTTCTTTCTTCTATTGCTCTCTATGTTCTCTCTCTCTCTCTCTCTCTCTCTCTCTCTTCCCTTCATTTCTTCTATTCTTGAATAATCAAACCTTCATTTTAACAAGCCCAACTAAAGAAGAGAGAGCAACCATGGAAAAAAGACTGTTCATATCAAGAAGAGACACGAGTCATGCGAAGAAAAAGAGATAAAAGTCAAAGGAAAGCCTTCTTTCGTTTCAGATTTCTCTTTTCTTTTTTTCTTTTTTTAACTTGGAGCAACCCATTTAACCGGTCACTCACTATTAAGCAATGTTTTTATGCATTCTACTAAGTTTTTTTGCACATGGATTACAACCTTTTGAACATACAATTAATTATGAAGGATTTATCATTAGTGAGAGATTCTATGTTTCATAATTATGCAAAGATAACGATTATTGCAAGACTGAAATGCAAATAGGACTACTTTAATTGTCAATTGCACTACTGGAATGCAAATTACACTACCTGTTTGTCAATTACATTGACAAATCACATATTATATTTACATTTTCAATTAATTGTGCATAGATAATGGCAATTGCTAGACTTGAATGCAAATAGTACTACTTTGTTTGTCAATTGCACGACTGGAATGCAAATGGCACTACCTGTTTGTCAATTATATTGACAAATCATATATTGTATATACTTTCTCAAAATTGAAAAGACTGTCAATAATATGGCAATATGCATACACTAATATGAAAATACAACTTTATGGTACAATGCCCATTCACAATGCTAATGGGATGATTCTTTCAATTGGCACATAAACTATGATATAACAGTCAAATTTACTTTAAAAGCTTATTCTCAATGGTACTACTACATCAAAGCTATCCTGATTCTTGATTGATGTTTCGTCATAAGAAGTCATCATATCTCCCCCTTCGGTTCCTGCTTTTTCATATTTATATGCTTGGATTGAATGTGTGTCACTAGCCAACAATAGTTCTTCTTCTTATACATGTCTTAAGTTAGCTGAGCATTCACTGATTTCATGTAATGCAGATATAGCCTTAAAGTTGAATGTGGAGCATTATCTAATTGCCACAAATCCGGGACTCCAAATGCCTGCTTTTTCTTTGTTGATAATCTTGTAGTTATTGATCACTGCTCCAACAATGTTTATGTACTGTCTATAGACGAAGGATGCACAAGTAAGACACCATGGTTGGATGATACAGAAAAAAAGCTTCTCAGCTTAAAAACTTCTACTACTACGGAGGGAGAGGAGCCAAACATACTAAGGAACCCAATATATATATATATAAGAAAAATAAGAGCAATACATTCCAATAAATGAGGAAAGACCAATACACTATAATTAACTTGTCAGGGTAGTTAAAGCACGAGTGAAAAAAAAGCTTTGAAGACCAATACATTCCAATAAATGAGCTCCAAACTTATAAATATTCAAAGATAAACAAATCAAATAAATTAGACCCACCAAATATCCAGAAAATCAAAAACTATCAATCCATCAGTGTCTCAACCACCTTGACAGCCTTAATTTAATAGAAAAATTAATCTACCTCAACCCCCAATTCAATTTAGAAGCCCTAATTCAACAAGCCTAATTTGACAGATAAAACCCTAAATTCAAAGGAAGAGGATGCTTACCTTAAACTGATATGAGAGAGGAATTGAGGAAAGAATATGACGCCCCCGACCCTGTCTCGTCTACGTCATCACAGAAGGAGGAGGGCCTGTGGAAGGAATCAAAATCAGACAGATACTAAGAGCAGATGAGGCAGTGCGGCTCTGTTCATAGAGAGATGTAAGGAGATAGAAGAATGAGAATAAGGACACTGACTTACCTGAGAGGAGAGGAGATGTGGTTGTTGTTGCTGTGTCGTTGTCACAGAAGGAGTAAAGGAGCAACTGTAGAAAGAATCGAACTCAGAGGGAAAGAAAAATGAGAGGAGCGGCTCTGAAATGTCTTTGACTGAAGGATAGAGCAATTGTTTTTGTTTTATTTATTTTACCTTGGCAACAATTTAACCGGTAATCAACAAGCAACGGTGTGGATTACTTCACTTGCCCAAACTACTCATCCAACGATCATAAGAAGTGGCGCATCCATGCGCCAAGTGCACCGTAGAATTTTCCGACATAAATAGCAGGGGCTCCTCGAACCAACCAAAACAAGTCTCTCACTGCTTAATTCAATTTGGTGTGCAACACCATTTGCTTTTCTAGGAATAAATATAAAAACAGAACCAAGAACTTGTCGCTGGAGATGCTGAATATCTTCAATAACGGAGCAGTCCTGCCCTCCTCTCTTTACTGCAGCAACAACGACAAGTGGAGCTTTGATATATGTTTTGTGCAGTGGTTCTGACTAAGAAGGAAAACGTGACTGCAGATAATGTGGTTCTCAATAAAAACGCGTCCATGCTCTGCAACCTGCTACTGAACATGCGGTAGAGGTCACATACAGCCAAGCAGTTGTTGAGTATCTTCTTGTCGTTTATCTTGCCTTGCTTTTTTATGCCTTCCATCATGGCCTTCCACTGAAGCTCAGCCACTTGCCCGAAATTCCAATGATTCACATATCTTACGTTTTGATTCGGAATCAAGGCATCTGGTGCAATCTTGGACTTGCCGGCTTTCACCTCCTCCAAATACTTCTCAACCACACTGTCTTTTGATTCGTAGGCCTCGTACAACTCGTCCACCTTGTACAAGGGCAGTAAAACCTCGTTTCTCAGGCAATCTAGGATAGAGTTCTTCAAACTGCAGAATATTTTGATTCAGATAATTACTCTTTTGGTTTCTTTAATCTTCATTCCTCAGCAGAGAAAAATTATAACAAATGGTTGCGCAAAAAACTTGGATGAACGTTTAGAGTACTTGAAACTGCAGAGTATTCTGTTTCTATAAAACCTACCAAAAAAGTGCCTGATCAAGGCTCTTGTTTTCAAGATACTCATAAACCAAAGTACGGTGGCTTCCTTCAATGTAGCATCCATACAGTTTCACTAGATTGCGATGTTGGACTGTAGATATCGTAGCAATCTCGGTTACAAATTGACTCATCTCTTGGTGAGATGCTACTGAAAGTTGCTTCACAGCCACTACCCTCCCATTAGAAAGTGGACCCTATAAACAGAAATACAATTCAGTTACATGAAAGGGAAGTAGAAAGAATCTATTTTGCTTCTCTCAATTTCTTTTTGTAAGAAGTCAAAGTCATTACTTTAAAGTAGCAGATATTGATGTAAAATAGATTTCACCTTATAAACAAGTCCATATCCTCCCTCTCCTAGCTTATTTCAAGAATTAAAATCTTCGGTTGCAGCTCTCAACTCAGCATAACTGAGTATTTGGTTGGGGACCTAATCCTAGAAGATCTGCACATTCAAAAGAGAGTATAACATAGGTTTAAATTTCGAAACAACATATCAGAAGTATTTTCAATCAAACAATATGGGTAGAATATTTTCAGATGTATTTCATTCTCCGAAAAGAGGCATTTATAATACAAGGTTACAAACCCTAGTAGGGTTATACTAGGAAATAAGAAAAGTCCTAATTACATAATATCTATACAAAAAGGAAATAAATAAAATCCTAATAGAATAAGAAAGAAATATCCTAATAAGACTCCCCCTCAAGTTGGAGCAAAGACGTCACGCATGCCCAACTTGTCAAGCGAGTTGTGGAAGATACTAGTAGAAATTGCCTTCGAAAGGACATCTGCTAATTCATACTCAGAATTGATGAATGGGAAGGAAACTATCTCCGCATCCAACTTTTCTTTAATGAAATTTCGATCAACCTCCACATGCTTTGTACGATCATGTTGTACAGGGTTATGAGCAATTGCAATCGCAGCCTTATTATCGCAATATAAATCCATAGGTTTCTTAGGCCCAAAGCCAAGATCTCTCAATAATCTCCTCAACCACAGTAACTCACATACACCGTGGGCCATTCCACGATACTCGGCCTCAGCACTAGATCGAGACACCACCTTTTGTTTCTTGCTTCTCCAAGTAACAAGATTACCATCAACAAACGTAAAATACCCAGACGTAGAACGCCTATCAGTAGCCAAACCTGCCCAATCAGAATTGTGTATCCTTCCACATCTGTATGACCATACTTGGAAAACATTAACCCCTTGCAAGGAGTTACTTTGAGATATCTCAAATACACGTCACAGCTACCATATGATCTTCACTAGGTGCGTGCATAAATTGACTCACTACACTTACTGCATACGCAATGTCAGGACGTGTATGAGCTAAATAAATTAATTTCCCCACAAGCCGTTGATAGCGCTCCTTATCAGTAGGAACGTGATCAGGATATAACCCCAACTTGTGATTATGTTCACTAGGAGTATCAATTGGTTTACAATCCAACATTCTAGTTTCTGCAAGTAAATCCAAAACATACTTCCTTTGAGACAAGAAAGTACCATGCTTAGATCTAGCCACTTCAATCCCGAGAAAATACTTCAAGTTACCTAATGATTTCATCTCAAATTCAGACGCCAGATATTTCTGGAGACTTTGTATTTCTGCCTGATCATCTCCAGTTACAATCATATCATCAACATAAATTATTAAAGCTGTCAATTTACCTTTCCGACCCTTTAGAAACAAAGTATGATTTGAATTACTTTGTACATACCCAGACTTCCTCATACATGCAGCAAACCTCCCAAACCAAGCTCTTGGAGACTGCTTTAATCCATATAAGGATTTCCGTAGTTTGCACACCATACCCACCTTAGAGGTTACAGGGATACCTGGCGGAGGGTCCATGTATATTTCTTCCTTGAGGTCACCATGGAGGAATGCATTTTTTACATCAAATTGTAACAGAGGCCAATCATGATTAGCAGCCAAGGACAAAAGTACACGTACAGTATTGAGCTTTGCTACTGGAGCAAAGGTCTCCGTGTAATCCACTCCATAGGTCTGAGTATAACCTTTGGCTACCAACCTTGCCTTGTAACGGTCAATGGAACCATCAGCCTTGTGCTTCAGAGTAAACACCCATCTGCACCTAACTGCCTTTTTTCCTTTTGGTAAAGGGATTAGCTCCCAAGTGGCATTTTTGTTTAAGGCTTCCATCTCCAACAAGCATTGTATCTACCCATTTTGGAATTGATAGAGCATCCTGCAACTTAGTTGGCACATATACACTAGATAATAGACACAAATATGATGCATATGACTTAGACAGACGATGAGTTGACACATAATGGTTAATGGGATATTTACATTTAACATGTATATCAGAGGAATATTGCACTTTAGGTTTACCACAAGTAGTGCGTGGTGGTAAGGGATAAGTAGACACACCATTAGAGAGTACCTCATCATCATCACAAGTTGATTGGAACAATGTCAGGGTAGAGGGGAGTCTTATATCGATCTCATCTTCACATGAGTCACCAATATCACTGTTACATTCTTCTGGCGAAGGGCAAATCTCATTAAGGAATTCAACCGACAACTGGTCGTTATCTTCTGGGCGACCGGTCGGTTTTGCACAAATTGTTGGGCCACTGGTCGTATCCTCTGGGTGACCAGTCGTTTCCATGCACTCGTCACGCATCGTGCCGTGTGACCGGTCGTCACCCTCTACACGACCGGTCGGTTTTGCACAGATTGCTTGGCGACTGGTCGCGTCCTCTAGGCGACCGGTCGTTGGCACTCCGTCAGAGATTCCTTCATATGCCTCTGTACATCCAAGATTTTCCATTCCAAGATTTTCACATACATTTTTTCGTCCAAGATCTTCCATTCCGAAATTCTTCAATTCACTTCTCCTCTCCCCCTGAATTGGAAAGGAGGAAGAGACATAATAAGGTACTTCTTCATGAAAAGTGACATCCAAAGTAACATGTACCTTCTACGAGGGAAGGTGGTAGCACTTGTAACCCTTTTGAGTGGTAGAATAGCCAATGAAGATGCAGCGGAGAGCACATGGGTCAAGTTTACTCTTTTGATAGGAGTAGACATGAACATAAGCAACACACCCAAACACCTTCGGAGGTAACTTAGAGACTGAAACTGGAGGAGTATGGGCACATAATACATTAAGCGGAGTCTTGAAATCCAGAACTCGACTAGGAGTACGGTTAATCAAATAGGCAGTGGCCAAAACACCATGTCCCCAAAGATGGTGAAGAACAGACATATCCAACATGAGGGAGCGAGCAACTTCAAGTAATTGATGATTCTTACATTCAGACACACCATTCTGTTGAGGAGTGAATGGAGTGGTAGTTTGATGAATGATACCTTGATCAAGGAAGAATTGGGTCAAGGTATGATTCACATATTCACCTCCGTTATCAGTTCGAAATACTTTAACACTGGCATGAAACTGAGTAGACATCATAGCACAAAACTCAGGAAGAATAGAGGCAACATCATGTTTATGCTTCATCAAATATACCCATGTTAAGCGAGTGCAATCATCAATGAAAGTGACAAACCAATGGAAACCATGAGAAGTCACACGGGGAAGGGCCCATACATTAGAATGTACTAACTCAAAAGGCAATGCAACTTTATTATTACTCAAAGGAAAAATAGTACGGTGGCTCTTGGCCATTACACAAGTCTCACATTTGAAGCTAGACTCATCACACGAACTAAATAATGAATGAAAGAAATGCTTAAGATAACCAAATTACGGATGTCCTAAGCGACGATGCCACAGCCAAAGTTGTTGCTTGTCTTTGACACTGCCACCCTGGACTTTATTAGCGACACACCCACGAACTATTGCAACCGGTAACTGTAAGTAATACAACCCCCCTATCCGTTTACCATGCCCAATCTTCGCATGAGTCTTGAGATTCTGGAAAAAACAATGGGTAGAATAGAAAGTAGCAGAAACATTAAGTGTATCAAGTAAACGCCCAACAGACAACAAATTGCAACGAATAGTTGGAACCAAAAGGACATGGGATAGAGGTAAAGAAGGAATGAGGTGGATGGTACCTTCACCAGTAACTAGGGAAGGTAAACCATTAGCACTAGTAATATAGGGGTCACAAGAGTTACGAGACAACTTATCAAACATATTGTCATCATAAGTCATATGATCAGAAGCACCAGTGTCAATTATCCAAGTATTAGAACCCATACCTGGCATGGTATCAAAAGCACACATATTTGCATACGGGGCCAGAGGATGGGTCTCATCTTGAGTCATAGTGCAGGCGGCCTTAGGACCGTACGTACGAGCTTTGTAGTCAGCAAACCAATCGAGATAACCATGCTCCTTAAAGCACTTCTCAGAGTAGTGATTCCCATAACAATGACGACATTTAGGAGGATCGTCAAGAGAGTTACGGGTAGAGCCAACAGAAGGAGAAAATTTCCTGGATGAGGGGCGACCGGTCATGTCGTGCTGTGTGACAGGTCGTTGATGTGCTGGGTCGACTTTGAGGGCCATAGAACCTCCTCCAAGCATAGCGAACTGACGGGTGTCTTCCTCCATGACCATGGCATAGGCCTCAATAGGGGGTGGGACAGGACTAAGAGCAAGGATACGGCTACAGACACCATCATATGGTGGATCAAGTCCTCCAAGAAAATCATAAACTCGATTGACTTCAAGTTCTTTCAAACGACGAGCCCCATCATCGGCACAACTATATTCATGTGGACCCAAACAATCAATTTCCTGCCAGATAGCATGGAGTATTTCATAGAACACTTTGACAGATACACCATTCTGACAAGTAAGGATGGACTGCCGTCGGAGTTGAAATAGACGAGAACTATTCTGAGTCACAGTATAGGTCTTCCGAGCGGCCTCCCATATATCAAAAGCAGTAGCACCATGTTCAAACAAGGCACGAACTGGCTTAGTCATAGAATTGAAAAGTCATGATTGCACCAGACAATTATCTTCTTCCTATTCGGCATAGGCAACGAAATCTTTAGACGGAGCAGGCTTCTTCCCATTGATCTAACTTGCTATACGACGACTAGTAATTGTAATACGCGCACACGAGACCAAGAGGCATAATTGGAGCCATCCAATTTGTCAAAAGTAATCGGGGTAGAGTAATCACGCGAGGGACGTTCCTCCTTTGTTGTAGACACACTGGCACCCACCACGACTTTGGAATCATCACCCATGATAGCAGCGGAAAAAACACAACACGAAGCAATACGACAAACACAGCACAGTCACAGGCACAAGAACCCTAAAAGGAATTAGGGCACACAGTAGAACACGAGTGGGCACAACACACACAGATCACCAAAAAGTCGGCTCTGATGCCAAGTCAAACAATATGGGTAGAATATTTTCAGATGTATTTCATTCTCCGAAAAGAGGCATTTATAATACAAGGTTACAAACCCTAGTAGGGTTATACTAGGAAATAAGAAAAGTCCTAATTACATAATATCTATACAAAAAGGAAATAAATAAAATCCTAATAGAATAAGAAAGAAGTATCCTAATAAGACTAGGATATCTCGCCAACATTTTCTCTTAAATAAGCTTATCAACACTAGAAAGAACCTAGAACTGCATGCAGAATTAACCCTTAATAATATGCTCATTGCTCTTTTACCTTCATCGTCATCTTTTTCTGATGTTTTTCTCGGTATATATAAAACTGAGGGGACTGCAATACCAACTATCAAACCAGTCCTGCTCTTCTTTCTTGGAGTAGTTGGTGTATTTGAGCAATGAAACAGAATAATTGTTCAGTGTCAATCAATTGACAGCAGATAAATACATTTAAACCATTCATAGGAAATCTTCATAACTTGACATTATATTATATACCTGAAGCAGCATGGACAACCGGTATTAGCGGGCCGTAATCACCTTGTTCAGGTATGCAACTTGTTCCCTTACCAGCCTAGAACAGATGAATATCTAGGTAATTCTTTGTCACATTAACCTTGAAAGGTCTCGCAACTGCTCTGTTAACCCCACCTACCTCCTTTTTTTTTTGGGTGGTAACAAAGAAGGTTAAGCCCATACAACAACTAAACATAAATCAATCTAGACCTTAAAAGGCCATCCCTGTCTTCTTGGAGAACACTGGTAATACCACCACGAGGCAAAACAAAGCAGTGAATACCCATTTCCATCTCATGCCCCATTATGGCCAGAGAGTCAGCAGCAAAGTTAACCTCCCTGAAAACATGAAAGATGCTGCAGTCCCAGGAGCTTTTCCAACAGACTCTGCACATGTTTAGCAAAGTAAGGAAGGGGTGATTCGACTCCAACTTAGCATTCAAAAGGTGCAAGACAATAGTAGAATCAGTTTCAACAATAAGCTTTGTCACTTGCAACCTTTGAGCTAGTTTTAGACCATGATACAACGCCCACAGTTCAGCCACCAAAATCTCCCCATGACCCAAATTAGTTGAAAAACCTTATTCCCACTCACCAGCAGAATTACGAATAAGGCCCCCAGCAGCAATAGCGCCACTAGAACCAATTCTAGACCCATCAATATTCAGTTTCATGAAAGAAACAGGGGGAGGCTTCCACGCAAGCAAAGTTTGCATCCTGAGTCTATATACCCCACCCTTTTTATTAGTAATGTCCCATTCCACAAGAAACCTCAAAATCCATGCATTGGGCAGATTAGGATAGTGGAAGGAATAATCAAAGACAGAGCAGCATCTCCATTTCCATATAAACCAGCAACTAGTAGCAAAAATATTGCACCATAGCAAGTTGAAAGAATTAACAACAGCTGTTTTCAGGCTTAAACGCAACCAACAATAAAAGTCATAGGGATACCTTAACACAATCAAGTAAGGAGAAAGAGTTCCATATTGCCTGAGCTCGAGGACAACGGATGCACACATGCTGAAGTGATTCCATATGGCAATGACAATACGGACAGGCTGAATTATTTGTCATTTTCCTTCTTGTTCTCTGCACATTGGTCAAAATTTTATTTTGGGATAGCAGCCACATAAACACTTTTAATTTGGGAGGAATCTTAAGCTTCCAAATAAAATACTAGCTATCATCACCCCCTTGAGACAAGCTGGAGCAAATATTATAAGCAGATTTAACTGTGAACTCCCCATTGGAACTAGGACCCCCAAACAAGTGTGTCCGGAGAAGAACCATCAAAGTCAGCACTTTCGATATGTCGAAGTCCTTCCTTCTGAGGTTCCCCTAGGAAGCAAATGAAGAGATAGTTAAATAATTTTGTCCTTCCTTCCGTCCAGACAGACTATTGTTTCCAAGAAATCTGGCCATATCAATTATAGAAGGCACCCAGAAAAAAAAACAAAAAACAAAAAAAAACAAAGAAACAAGAAAAAGGTCAGATGGACGACTAATCTGAGCAGGAAATTCAATGGCATAAGTACAGAAAAGGGGAATAATGAAGGCAGGCCTTATTACAAATATGTAAGAGAACTCGTGTTGAACAAAGAACTTGGGAGTTCGCCTGTTAAATTGTTGAAACCTAGATCCCTGCAACATGAGTGATAAGTTAGAATACAATTATAGTGATAAGAAAATTAATTGGTATCTTTGGGATACAAGCTTATATATCTGCAGGAACTTACAGTATCTGTAAACGTTGATATTCTCCAAAATCAGTAGGGATGCTACCATTGATTAATGTATTCCGTAGAACTCTGTTACACCACCAAAAAAAATTAGTGGACAAGTAAATGGAGTAAGCTTTTCAATTTGAAAAGGAAAACGAAGTTTGATCACAGTGCGTGAATGAATGAGGTGTCAACTGATTCGCTTATGAAATCAAGAGACGAGCTCACATAATATATGTCACTGATACGCTTTCATTATCATACACAAACATAAATGATGCCCAATAAATGGAGGGGAGAGAGAGAGAGTTAGAGTTTAAAATGTATTAAGCATTTGCCCTTACAGAGATTCCAATGAAGTCAGTTGAGAAAAACTGGTTGGTATTGGGCCTTCAAAAGAGTTCCCTTGAAATATCCTACAGAAACATTTGAGATGCTTGTGAATAAAAGCCCCATCTCAGCCATGCAGATCTGCTTTCATAAACTGCAGAAGGTTAAAAGTTTGGCATTCTTACAAAGAAGTCAGTTTTCTCCAATTCCCAACGAAAGAAGGTATCTTTCCTGAGAAAGGATTATCTGATGCATAGCTAAAATTCAAAAAGTTGACTCATAGTAAGCTCATCCCAGAATAGAAATCTCAAAGTACTGAATAAACAAAAAACTTATAGGATTTTCATTTTGATGAGCTTAGCAAATGTTGATGGAATTTCTCCACCGAGTCCACAGCTGTCCATGTAACTGTGAAAATAATAAAGTGATTGCTACCAATTTCGTATGATAAACGCATTCCTTGCTCATCGATAATGAATTAACAAATAAACCGCTCCTTTAAGAGAAAATAATTACACATTGCAACATGTGATTCAAATTCGATGAGTTAAATGAAGCACTCACAATAGCCCGAGATTGACTAAGTTACCAAGTTCTGGAGGGAGTGTTCCGGAGAAATTATTTTATCCAAAGGACCTGCAACAAGTCATGTTGAAGAGGTATAGAATTAAATGATAGGGGGTTCTATATTTAACATGTTCCAATAGAGTATTTCTTAGTTGTCTTTGCTTACAGCATAGTTAGCTCCCTATCAGAGTTGGCTCCTTCAACTGAGAAACCTGTGTCTTTTATATGCTGTAAGCAAAGACAACTGAGAAACACAGCATAGTTAGCTCCTCCAACTGAGAAACCTGTGTCTTTTATATGAAAATGTTAACTTGCCATAAACCAAACAACAGAGAAGAGGGTTGGAAAAACTTCATACAAAACGGACAGATATCTTAAAGCCTCAAATTCTTTTGGAAACACCCCTCGTTTGTTCAGAGCATGAAGTCGACTGGAAAGAAAAAAGATTGAGCAGTTAGGCACTTAATATTACAATTGATATATCAGGCATGTTCTGCTTAGTTTTCTAAACTTGATAATTAATTGATTTGCTACAGTCAACAACACAATATGGAGAGAGAGAGAGAGAGAGGAGAGAGAGAGAGAGAGAGAGAGAGAGGGTAATAACATACAGTTTGGTGATGTGGCAAGTAGTATATTTGTCGTAAGTACAGTCACAAGTGATGGCTGGATTATTCTCTGGCTTTTCAAACTCGCTTCCATTGATGGCAAATCCAATGCATTGCTCTCCTCCACTGATAGGCAGGGCTTGCATGTCCCATTGCTTGAATATTGAGATCAATGCCGTCACTGCATTCTCAATTCAATCATTGCGTATGTAGGAACCGAATTAAATCATACCCTAGGTCAAATAATTCCTTCAATTTGGGGATTATTTGACCTATTTGGGAATTACTCAACCTAATTGGAAGTTACTCAATTTAATTGGGAGTTACCCAATTAAATTGAGAATTACCTAATTAAGTTGGGAATTGATTTGATTCCTACCCCAATTCCCAATTAAATGAGGAGTTACCTAATTAAATTAGGATTTGATCTGATACTTACCACGATTAGGGATTTGATTTACCCAAATAAATCAAATCCCTAATTAATCAAATCAATGCCAAATCAGGGAGGAATAATTCCTTACCAACTACGGAATTATTCCTCTGAAACCCTAATCTCCGAGACCATTATAAATACTTGGCTACGCACAAAGATCAAGGTACGTCTAAATTCCTACTGAAACTCTGCAGAAATTATTTCCCACAAACCCTAGCCACCACTTTCTTTCTCTCTCTGACACAAGGCTCCGGCCACCACACACGACTCCGGCCACCCGGTTTTCCTTGAAATACCCTACCTAACTTAGGCATTGGAGGGCCTTTGGCCAACACCCCCCGGGTGTGGTCCTTTTACCCCGATCTGTTTTGCAGGGAGAAAGAGAAGTGGAGAAGACGAAGGAATCTTAGACGAATATTCTCGTGAGGAAATTTGTACAAACAAATTGGTGCTTTCATTGAGAGCACGAGATATATTCAAAGCGTGCTCCAAATCCATCTTTCACACATTTTTTCAAACAACCATGGTTGACACAAGACGTACGAAGAGTAACGCCACCACGACGGGCCCATCTCATGGTTTCGTGGTGGAAACCTCAATGCAACAGCACAGAATCATGCCTGCCAACACCCTGCAGCCGTCTTCAGCTGCTGGAATTGCAGAACAGCCGCCACATGACCCTGGGACCTCCATAGCCTTGCAGTCGCTAGCGCCGATTACCGGAGCTGCTCTGCCTCGCTGTCCTGCCGTCGGAGCACAGCAGCAGCCACACCACTTAACTACCGGACTTGCTGCATAGCCCCATGGCTACTCTGACATCGTCCCAATCTTGGAGCAGATCCATTCTCTCCCTCCTTTGCGATCACACTTGACATATGCACCTGTGTACGCGTCTAATGGAGCCCTAGCCCACATGCCGTTGGGCCCGATGCACACCACTCTACTTGACCCAGGCAGTCAGGTGGACCTTAACTCGCGGGTTGATCAACTCACACAGAAGGTCGATGATCAAAACAACCTGATTGGCCAGCTACTCAGGCAGATCAACTTGAATCAAGGCCCCAATCTTGGACCCCGTGACGAGGAGAGGAGGGCACACGAGCATGCTGGCGAGCAGTTCGAGAGGTCCCAGGCTAGTCAGACAAGGGCAAACCGGCAGGGGAGAGAGCGAGATCGTGCAGACGAGACGCAGACAGCTGGGAGCCGTACTCTGAGCCGTTCGAGGTTAGGACCCAGGACCAATGTGCTCGAGAGGCTAGGCCCACAATCCAATGTTCGTGCTCGCTTAGGTCCACAAGGACCTCGAGTTCGTGAGCAGTCGCGGTGACAAGCTATGGAGGGATCCTCCCAAACTTAACCTTCTCTCCTGCCCCATCCGCAGGGCAACCAAGGGGATCGACCCTTGGGAGTCGGAGAAGAAGTTAGCCAATCACGTTCGAGGCACCGAAGACGTCGACCTGAACGACCTTCCTTGCAAGTAGAGGATGACGATCAACGCTCACCAGCCCGCTCGAGGTCCAACATGCGACGACAAGCTGTGGAGGGATCCTCCCAAACTCAACCTTCTCTCCTGCCCCACCGGCAGGGCAACCAAGGGGATCGACCCTTGGGAGTTGGAGAAGAAGTTAGCCAGTCACGCTCGAGACATCGAAGACGCCGACCTGAACGACCTTCCTTGCGAGCAGGGGGTGACGATCGACGCCCACCAGCCCGCTCGAGGACCAACACGCGGCGACAAGCTGCAGAGGAATCCTCACAAGCTCAATCTCCTAATCTGCCTCACGGGCAGAGCACCCAAGGGGATCGACCCTTGGGAACCGAGGAAGAAGTTAGCCAGTCGCGCTCGAGGCACCGAAGACGTCGGCCCGAGACTCCAACCCTGCGAGCAGAGGATGTCGCAAAGCTAGTAAATGACCAACTCCGAGGTCTCCGACTCAAAGGAAGCGCGGAGGAGGCCCTGTGCAAGGAAATTGATCGAGTTGACTGCTCGCCCTTTACCGACGAGGTGGAACGAGCTCCGCCGCCGAAGTGGTTTACAACGCCATCCATCACTCCATTCAAGGGGGACTCTGACCTGAGAGCCATTTGAGGCACTTCAAGAGCGCCATGATCCTGTACAAGGCAGACGACACCCTGATGTGCAAAGTGTTCGCGATGACCCTGCGAGGAGCAGCTCAGGATTGGTTCCACACTCTACCGTCCGCGTCAATAGGCAACTTCAAGGAGTTCGCCATCATTTTCACAAAGGAGTACACCTCCTACAAGACGGTCAGAAAGCATGCAGACCACCTGTTCAACTTGCGCAAGAAGCCAGACGAGTCTCTACGAGATTACCTGAGACGGTTTAAGGCTGAGAAGGCTAACATCATAGGATGCAACGACCAAGTTGCATCCTCAGCTTTCAAAAAGGGCTTTCCAACCGAGCACGAGCTATACCGGAAGCTGGCCATAACTCCAAGTCAAACCTTGGCAGAAGTGTTCACGACGGCAGAGCGCTACGCACTTTGGGACGATGATCGTATCGCCGCGAAGAAAGCTAGCAAGCAAGTTGACCACCCGACGAAGTAGGCAAGCCAAAAGAGCAACAAGTTCGAGCAAAAAGCCCGATATAAGCGCAGATCGCAGCCCCAAGAGGGAAGCTTAGAAACAGGGACCTTCACTGAGTTCGCTATCCCAATCCACCAGATCCTAGCTTAGGTGAAGGATAAGCCGTGGGTGTGGAGACCACCACCCATGAAGGGAGACCCCTCTAAAAGAGACACCAGCAAATACTGCGCATTCCATGGGGAGCACGGTCATTACACCAACAACTGCAACGCTTGGAAAAGGCACCTTGAGGAGCTAGTCAGGGAGGGCCATTGCACAGAGTTCGTTGCAAAGAAGGCTATCCAGCAGATCGAGGATCGTGATGCAGCTGCCAAGGAACCTCCCCAAAAGGTCATTCGAATCAACACCATTCTAGCCGACTCCCAAGAGTCCGGGCTGACCACCAAGGAGCGCAAGAGAAAGATCGCTCAAGCAACTTATGTCTCCCAAGTCACAACGGGAGTACCAGCCGTTGGGGATACACCTATCATCGGCTTCCAGAAGAATGACTTGATCGGGCTTGACCTGCCACATAATGACGCCCTAGTCATTTGCATCCAAATTGAACAAGCTGTGATCGAGCGAGTTCATGTAGATGAGGGCAGCACAGCCAACATCCTGCAACTATCTGTTATCCAACAGATGGGGTTCGAGCCCAAGATTAGCAAACTTGCCAGATCGCTCACCAACTTCAATGGGGCCACATCAATCACTGTTGGAACGATCGACTTGGATGTCCACTCACCCCCAGTGGTCTGCTCACAGACCTTCATGGTCATCGACGAGGTTTCCCCCTACAACGGAATCTTGGGCCGACCGTGGATCAGCAAGATCGAGGCCATCACATCTGCTCTACATCAGAAGATCCGTTATCCCATCCTTGGGGCGGAATCGGGCAGATCAACAGTGACCAAGCCATGGCAAGGAGATGCACCGCCCAAGGGCTCAAGAAGAGCAAGCAGCTGCAGTTCACACCAGTAATGCAAGCTGCCAACGAGGCAGGTAGCGCTCTTAGCAGACAAGCAAACCCGAAAGGGAAGGAAGTTGCTGACTCACAATAGCAGTTAAGGAACCAGGATCAAGGTGAGGGAATCCGCCCGGAAGACTCCCCTGAAAAGGGTTGGAAGCCTGAGGATAACGTTGAGTTAGTACCCCCTGATCCTGGCCAGCCAGACAAAGAGGCACAGATTGGCTCGTGCCAGAATCCAAACAAGAAGGATCGAGACGAGGGAATCCGCCCGGAAGGCTCCCTTGAAGAAGGTTGGAAGCCTGAGGAAGACGTTGAGTTAGTACCCCTCGATCCTCACCAGCCAGACAAGAAAGCGCGGATTGGCTCGCGCCTAAGCCCAGACGAGAAGATGGAGCTGACCATCTTCCTCCAGAACAACAAAGACATGTTCGCGTGGTCACCATCTGACATGCCTGGCATTGACCCAAACATCATCTGCCATTGGCTCCATGTCAACCCAGCTAGCAAGCCCGTGGTGCAAAAGAGACGCAACTTTGCTCATTGAAGAGGTCTCCTACTCGGAATTGCTCCTATCTGCCGGTTTCATTGAAGAGGTCTCCTACGCGGAATGGCTGGCTAACGTTGTTCTGGTGGCGAAACAAGAAAAGGGAAAATGGAGAGTATGCGTTGATTACACCGACCTCAACAAAGTGTGCCCTAAAGACAACTTCCCATTGCCGAGAATCGACCAGCTCGTGGATTCAACTTCCGGCAACCAGCTGCTCAGCTTCATGGATGCTTACTCCGGCTATAATCAAATTATGATGTACGATGATGACAAGGCGAAGACCTCTTTCATCATCGAAAGAGGGACCTATTGCTACAAGGTCATGCCCTTTGGGCTGAACAACGCATGAGCAACCTAAAATTTTCAAGGAGCAGATCGACAGAACCATGGAGGTGTACGTGGACGATATGCTGGTTAAAGCCCCCAAGCGGGCAGACCACCTCAAAAACCTCACCGAGGCGTTCAGCCTACTCCGCCAATATCGCATGAAGCTAAATCCAAGTAAATGCACGTTCGGTGTATCGTCTGGCCGATTCCTAGGGTACTTAGTGATGCAACGAGGTATCGAGGCACACCTGCGCCAAATCAAAGCCATTCTCGAGATGAAGTCGCCTTCCACAGTGAAGGAGATACAAAGCCTGACGGGCAGAGCAGCGGCCCTTAACAGATTCCTCTCAAAGTCTACCGACAAGTGCAGACCATTCTTCAAAGCTTTGAAGAAAGGACAAAAAGACAAATGGGACGAAGAGTGCGAAGTAGCTTTCCAGAATCTAAAGACCTACCTTACTTCACCTCCCTTGCTCTCAAAGCTAGTTCCTGGTGAAGACTTGTTCGTGTACCTGGCAGTGTCCAACTCGGCCGTCAGCTCAGCTCTCATCCGAGAAGAACTTGGGGCCCAACATCCGATATTCTACACGTCAAAAGCTCTCCTCGATGCAGAGACTCGCTACCCGAAATTAGAGAAGCTCATTTTGGCCCTTGTGGTTTCTGCGAGAAAGCTGTGACCTTATTACCAAGCTCACCGAGTCATCGTCATGACCGACTTTCCTTTGAGATCAATCCTCCACAGCCCTGATGCTTCTCAGCGACTCATGAAGTGGGCTATAGAGCTAAGCCAATACGACCTCCTCTACCGGCCGAAGACTGCAATAAAAGCTCAAGCCTTAGCAGACTTTGTTGCAGAATTCACACCATCAGCCGAAGAAGAGAAGCTGGTCAGCAAAAAGAAGGAAAGTTCGAGAGCAGACAAGACCTCTACTGAACCTGACCAACCCAGAGACATGTGGCAGTTGCGCGTAGACGGAGCGTCGAACCAGAAAGGAGCTGGAGCAGGCGTCGTCATCATCACCCCAGATGGAACCCTGTTAGAGCAAGCTATCACGCTTGGCTTCCCGGCTTCAAACAACGAGGCAGAGTACGAGGCATTGCTCGCTGGCTTGCGCTTGGCAAATGAGCTATCAATCAAAAAGCTGGCCATCTACTCAGATTCCCAGCTGATCACAAGTCAAGCCTCAGGAGAATACATGGCGAAGCACCCAAGGATGATCTTGTACCTTGACAAAGTTCAAGAGTTGTTGAAAGCGTTTCCCACCTTCACCATCCAGCAAGTTCCAGAGCAGAGAATGCGCACGCAGATGCACTGGCAAGCTTAGGATCGGTGCTGGATACCCAGTTCAGACGCTCCATCCCGGTCGAGCACCTTGACCAGCCTAGCATAGAGGAGGCATAGCAGCTGGACCTGATGCAGATCGATGAGGATCCTAGCTGGCAAGACCCAATTATTGACTACCTAGTGAATGAAAACTTGCCCAAGGACAAGTCCGAGGCCAGAAAAATCAAGTAGAAAGCTGCAAGATACTACATGAAAGGCGACATGCTTATCCGCAGATCATACTACGGGCCTCATCTCACTTGCATCAAGTACCCACAAACGCTCGAGGTTCTCTGCAAGATACACGACGGCAAATGTGGAAATCACGCTGGGGGCAGATCGCTTGCTCAGAAGGCTCTCAGCATAGGCTATTTTTGGCCTACCATGCGCCAAGACTCCACGGAGTATGCTCGAAGATGTGATCGATGCCAACGCTACAAGCCGGTCCCTGGCCTGCCCGCTGAGGAATACCATCCGCAGAACAGTCCATGGCCATTCATGCAGTGGGCCATTGACTTGGTGGGACCTATGCCGACGGCACCTGCCAATAAAGAGATGATGATCGTTGCCACTGATTACTTCACCAAATGGATCGAGGCCGAGGCTTTATCTTCTACCAAGGAGGCCGATGTTGAACGGTTCATCTGGAAGAACATTATTTGCAGATTCGGTTGCCCGCAATCGATAGTCACCGACAATGGTACACAGTTCGTGGGCAGGCAGATCACCGCATTCTTTGCGAAGTATGGCATCAAACAACACCCGTCAACACCCCGATACCCGCAAGGCAATGGCCAAGCAGAGGCATCTAACAAGATAGTGCTGAACTGCCTAAAGAAAAGACTGGAAGGCGTAGAAGGAAAATGGGTCGACGAGCTGCCAGGAGTCCTATGGGCTTATCGCACGACCAAAAGGAGATCGACCGGAGAGACACCATTTTCCCTGGCCTATGGGACAGAAGCAATCATTCCCCCACACATCACAGTCCCTTCCATGAGCATTAAGGTGGGCAGTCTTGACCAAAACTGCAAGCAGATGAAAGTCAACCTTGATCTGCTCGAAGAAGAACGAGAAAAGGCCATTGTTCGAGTTGCCGCCTACCAGCAGCAGTTGACATCCTACTACAATAGGAGGGCCAAGATTAGAGAGTTTCAGCCTGGGGACCTTGTGCTTAGAAAAATTTTCATCACAACACCAAGGCAAGGGTCAAAGAAGATGAAACCAAACTGGGAAGGCCCCTACGTGATCAGCCGATCTGGAGGCAGAGGAAGTTACACCCTTGATACTCTAGAAGGAAAAGAAATTCCGAGACAATGGAATGCCCACCACCTTCGAAGATACTATCCATGAAACTCTTCGCTTACCAGCTTAGCTCCTAGCAGGCGACGAGCTTCCTGTACTTCCACTAAAGACGAACTACTTTCGATGTTACCTTTGTTGTTAATTTCCTTTATTTAATAAAGCGATGTACACCAACATCAATACAAGAGCAAGCTTTTCAATGAAGTACTTTTTTGAGCATTATGTCTTACGAACATACACATGCCTGCAGCAAGCCCCATCTCCATTGCAGACAAGCTGCTCCACGAAGCATAAACTCAATGGAGTCTTTTTCGAGCGTTGTGTCCTTGACATATGCTCGCAGGCGACAAGCCTCATCTCTATTGCAGACAGGCTGCTTCACGAAGAACAAACTCAATGGAGTCTTTTTTTGAGCATTGTGTCCCTGACATACGCTTGCAGGTGACAAGCCTCATCTCCATTGCAGACAGGCTGCTCCATGAAGCACGAACTCAATGGAGTCTTTTTCGAGCATTGTGTCCCCGACATACGCTCACAGGCAACAAGTCTCATCTCCATTGTAGACAAGCTACTCCATGAAGCACGAACTCAATGGAGTCTTTCGAGTATTGTGTCCCTGACATACGCTCGCAGGCGACAAGCCTCATCTCCATTGCAGACAAGCTGCTCCACGAAGCACGAACTCAATGGAGTCTTTCGAGTATTGTGTCCCTGACATACGCTCGCAGGCGACAAGCCTCATCTCCATTGCAGACAAGCTGCTCCACGAAGCACGAACTCAATGGAGTCTTTTTTGAGCATTGTGTCCCTGACATACGCTCGCAGGCGACAAGCCTCATCTCCATTATAGACAAGTTGCTCCACGAAGCACGAACTCAATGGAGGCTTTTTCGAGCATTGTGTCCCTGACAAGTGCTCGTAAGCGACAAGCCTCATCTCCATTGCAGACAAGCTGCTCCACGAAGCACGAACTCAATGGAGTCTTTTTCGAGTATTATGTCCCCGACATATGCTCGCAGGCGACAAGCCTCACCTCCACTGAAGACAAGCTACTCCTCGAGTACAAACTTCATGGAGTCTTTTCAAGCGTCATGTCCCCGACATACGCACACAGGCGACGAGCCTTACCTCCATTGTAGGCAAGCTACTTCACGAGTACAAACTCAATGGAGTTTCTTTCAAGTGCTGTATCTCCGGATATACACTTACAAGATACAATGAGAATTGAAGTTTGAAAGACAACTGAAAATTCCATAACAAAGCGGCCGACAAGCACCATCTACTCAACGGCCTCACCTGCCTGCTCCTTCGCATCTGGCTTGGCCTTATCAGCTACGCCACCTTGGGAGTTGTCTTCCTCAATTGCAGCTTCATCTGCTATCTGCTCTTCAACTGCTTCTGCACCCACAACATTGCTCTGCTCATTTTGAGCAAGGGGCAGGTCAGGATAGAGCTGCTTACCGTCTTCATGTTCGAGAGGGCAACAAGGAGAATCACTATTCCTGCAATCCAAGTATCCCAACTTGTACACATTAGCAACAATCTCATGCTTGGATGCCTCCGTGGCTTCAACATGAGTGTCGAACTTGACGAGCGGAGCTATCACCAACTTCTGGATCGGCAGTTCGTGCAACTTAAGGATTCTTTGCTCGAGCAGACGACTCTTTAGCTCTCTTGGCCGTAACTTGCAACATTGAGTCAGCTCCGCGCTTGACTGTTCAGGGCTTTGCAGACGAGTCGTGATTGCTAGACAGATGTACAGTTCTCTCAGTTTGATCCCAGGATCGGCACAAGCAACTCAAACCCTACTTCTCAATAGCCTCCTCACAAGGTAGATCATGGGTTTTAGGCAGTTCGAGCGGATACCTGAGCAGTATATCCCGGATCTCCTACATGCCATTGATCTTCTTACTATTTGCGCTGACGAGGCGCTTGATCCTAGCAGATGAAGAAGCAACTCTCATAGGGACATTCTCAGCAGACGAGACCCCCTTACGGAAGACTTGCTCGTGGAACAATGAGGAAGCTTGGTCGAGGACTTCTCCCGCTCAATTGGCAGATCATCTAGGTCCGAGCCATGCAGCTCCCATCTTTCAACATCTTCGGCTGGGGGCAAGCCTCCAGCCTCCTTCCGATGTTCACTCAGCAACCAGCGCAATCCACAGAACCTGGCAAGGATGTTCAAAGCTTGATGAACACTGGTCGTGTCCGGGCAGAGATCGAGCTTCTTGTGGATGTCATTTTCTACAAGCATGAGACAGAAGTCAGTCAAACACACAGCAAAGAATTCCATGGCAACTGTAGCAGATCAGAGGAATGAGCGGACCGTCGCCAACCTCCCCTACCCGTCTGCCGCTGACTTCCAACATGTCCGTGCTCCACACGTGATCGCCTTGACTCATACTGTTCCTAGTTCATGGCACAAAAAGAAGAAGGAATTGAAGCAGTTTGGATCAACCATAAATAAGCCGACCCAAACTGCCACCTGCTCCAGCAGCAGGCCAGCTTGCCTCCAGCCCAGTTACAGCTGGACAACCCAAGTCAAAGACCAGTTGGCAAGTCAAAAGTCTCCTCCATTCAGGAGCCCAAATCCAAGGAGGAAGCTCAATTACAGCTGGACAGCCCAACAAACAATTCACATCTCCTACATGCCACCACGTGCCATGCAGAAGCTGGGGGGCATTTGTGGGAACCGAATTAAATCATACCCAAGGTCAAATAATTCCTTCCATTTGGGGATTATTTGACCTATTTGGGAATTACTCAACCTAATTGGGAGTTACTCAATTTAATTGGGAGTTACCCAATTAAATTGAGAATTACCTAATTAAGTTGGGAATTGATTTGATTCCTACCCCAATTCCCAATTAAATTAGGAGTTACCTAATTAAATTAGGATTTGATCTAATACCTACCACGATTAGGGATTTGATTTACCCAAATAAATCAAATCCCTAATTAATCAAATCAATGCCAAATCAGGGAGGAATAATTCCTTACCAACTACGGAATTATTCCTCTGAAACCCTAATCTCCGAGACCATTATAAATACTTGGCTACGCAAAAAGGTCAAGGTACGTCTAAATTCCTACTGAAACTCTGCAGAAATTATTTCTCACAAACCCCAGCCACCACTTTCTTTCTCTCTCTGACACAAGGCTCCGGCCACCACACACGGCTCCGGCCACCCGATTTTCCTTGAAATACCCTACCTAACTTAGGCATCGGAGGGCCTTTGGCCAACACCCCCCGGGTGTGGTCCTTTTACCCCGATCTGTTTTGCAGGGAGAAAGAGAAGTGGAGAAGACGAAAGAATCTTAGACGAATATTCTCGTGAGGAAATTTGTACAAACAGCGTACACATCACATAACGTACATTTTATACTATACCTGAAAGATGGCTAGTACCTTCAGATGGATCGGTAGTAGCATTTTGAGCCATGGACACATGAAACCAGAAGCAACTGAGAAAGCATGGACTGCAAAAGAAGCCAAAGGACGCTGAAAGAGGCCATTGTTGTTTCAGACTCATAGTCAATCGCAGTGTTCGAAAAATCGGCCTAGGCGAGCGGGTAGGTGGCTAGGTGGTCGCTAGGAGGGCTCGAGGCTGCTAGGCTGTCGCTAGGAAGGCGCGAGGAGGCTAGGTGGTTGCTGGGCTGGCGCGAGGATGCTAGGCGGTCGGTAGGAGGTAGCTAGGCGGGCGCCTAGGCAGGTTGGGTCTTTTTTCGTTGCCGAAACCAAAGAAAACAAATCGAAGCTTGAGTTGATAGAGAAGCGAAATGGCTTGAACGCAAGTGCAAGTTTCGTGTTCGTCTAGAATATATTTAAAGAGTATAGCCGATCAGCTATACTTTTAAAATATTCGAATGTCTTTGAATCGGAAATAAAGAAACAAGGCCTTATTGGATATTTTGGATGACAAAATGTCAAATTGTCAAGGATGATGAATTGCCGAGCAGTTTGATGATGTGGAAACTAAGCCCTACTAACATCATCATAGAATCGATTTTTTTAGCAAAAATATTCTTTTACTGGATAATTATCCTTCTTTTATTTGACACAAATGTTCAACCATTAGATTAAAGTACAATAAATGGCTAAAATTAAACAAACTAATTTTTTTAAAAAAATATATAATGATATATTGTAATTAATTTTTTATTGACTTCCCCATTTTCATTTTCTCTTTCTGTATTTATTTTAATCAATTTTTTTTTTAGTTTTTGCTCATTCCTATTATACCCTTACCTACATTAATTTATTTTTACTTCACTTTTATATTATTATTATTATCTTTTAAAACTTAATTTACTTACACACCATTTTCAATGGATGGATGAATTCTTTAAAATTATTATTTTAAAAACAAACAAAATATTTTCCCCAGCAACAACCCCCTCTCTCTCCCCCTCTCTTCGTCAACCCCCTTCTCCTCCTCCCATCTCAACCCAACCCCACATAGCCACCCACCCACCAATAGCCATCGCTGCCCCAATCACCACAAACGACCTTACCGCCCAAAATGTCCGATAGTCAAGCCACACTCAAACCCCGAAACTCTTTTTTTTAAAACCCCGTATCTGGATTTGGTGGTTGAAGAAAGAGGGGAGAGAGAGAAAGAGAGGGATAGAAAAGGTTTAAAGATCTTAGCCATAGCTACCAGTATATGTATGATTGATGTTATTGGGTTCCTTTTACTTCTTTTGGTTATGTTTTTGGAGGAGAAGCTAACAAAAAGTGAGGAAGAAAATAGAAAAGGTCCTTTGAGCCTTTGCCATTGGAGCTTCTGTGTTGGCTTTTTAGACCTTCGCGAATCACATGGCAATAAACAGTTGATTTGCTGGGCTTGGTTTTTTTTGGTCGAAGAAAGAGGGGAAACAGAGAGGGGGAGAGAGCAGACGGAAAGGTGGGTGTGTAAGAGAGAAGAGAACCCGAGGGTGGGTGGGTTTGGTTTGGGATATATTTTTTTGGTTTAAAAATATTATTTTTAAGGAATTCTTTATTATCATTTATCACATATCAGCACCTCTCCAAAGTGCTCACTTGCCCCATCATCAAGGGTAAAATAGGAAAAAGAAAGAACAAAAAAGAGCAAAATTGATTAAAAAGCATTAAAAAATAAAAAGGAGTGTAAGTGGAGAAAAAGGGAGTGGGGAAATCAACTCCCTTTTTTTTTATACCTCCTGAAAATGTATTTGAGTCTCACTTTGCCCTTTGAATAAGAACGGATCCATGTACAAACTAGGCTGGGCGCTAGTTTGATGAAGTGCAAGTCATCCTCATTTCTCATTCAAATTGAAAAGCTACTGCAAAATTCGTAAACAAGAGAAGCTACCTAATTACATAAGATCATAAGCGACACTGACAAAATCACTATAGAACTAACAAGTCACAAGCAAAACCTCTCAAACCAAACAAAAATCCAATCTTTTTCTGAAAATAACGATGATGGTTTCAAAATGTGACCTTTCCCCAAAATCAATCCAAGTCCTTAACAATCTTAATCCCCATCGAACTAGTTGTACATTGATGGACTTACAAATGGACTCCAAGGGCAAGTACTGGCAATACGGGTCAGATTGCTTCACTTTGGCAATCTCATACCAGTGCCTCACAAACAGCTCAGAAGCGACCACATGTTTGAGTCGGTTGCTGCCGGAGTCGACGCCGGTGGCCTTTTTCAAGTACCAGCTGATAGACGGTGACTTTACCATGAAATTGTAGGTGTTGTCACAGAGTATAGCTGCGCAGCTATACTTTTTTCATTGAAACACGTGCCAGGCAGGTCTTTTTTAAATTTATAAATAGTATAACCGAATGGCTATACATAAAAAAGAGTATAGTCGAGCAGCTGTATGGGGGCCTTTTTATTTTTATTTTTACAAATAGTATCGCCGCACGGCTATACTCTACTGTAATATTTTTTTCCAGTTGTTTTTACAGAGTATAGCCACACAGCTATACGGTTTTCAAATATAAAAAAAAACACGCCCTAGGCAAACGAGTACCCTAATTCTGGAGCAGAAAGCTTCTCTTCTCTCCCCGGTCTTCGTCAGCAACATGATGGGTAAGAGGTGCTGGCTTTCATCAATACTCGGCAACCTCCATGACCACGAGAGGGTCATGAAAGAGTACCAAGCTATGAAAGAGGAGATCAAGGCCAGGGCACTCAAGGAAGATTGGGACTTACTAATAAAGGATTACAACGTTTGCATTGTGTTTCTGCCGGTCTTGTCCAACTGCCGTATGCTCTGCAAAAACTCTTCCGTGTTCGGGATGGGATAATTACCACTTTGTCCCCTGCAAGCTTGAATTGTGTTTTTGGGCAGATGGATGACACCTCAATTGTGCAATTGGTTGAGGGCTTTGGAGAAGTTGGCATTTAATCTATTAATTGTACAATTCACAGCCAGGATTTCATAGGAAGAATGCTAAAATTGTAAGACAATTATCATTGTCATTGCCTTCATTTTATTCTCTGTTTCTATGATTCTATGAATATATATATATATATATATCTTGTATTCTTCTTGTTGATGCTCTTTTTGGGAGGTCAACTTAGAGAGAAGTGGGTAGTCTTCAACAGGGGAGAAGGTGATGACCTTCAGCAAGGGAAGAGCCTGCAGAAGACAAAGTATGAGAAGCAGTCGTCAAGCTTCAAACACCGGTGTGATGCCAGCCAAAGGCTCTCCGATGCCTAAGTCAGCTATGAATGGTAAAATTGGCAGAGTAACAGTAAAAGTGAGAGAGAAGTTACCCTTTTTACTTGGGTACTGTTCCCTATTTATAGGGAAGTGAAAGTGGGAGGTTTGCACAAAGTTTCGATGTGAGACTTTGTGCAAGTCGCTGTGGAGGTGACACGTGTCTTGGAGATTAGGTTCAGAAATTTGGGAGCTTCGGCAGGTGTCTGGCACCTCAGAAGGGTGTCTTCCTTCGGCATGGGAGAAGGCGTGTCTATCTTGGTGCTAGTTGTTTTGAGGCTAGATATGCTCGGTTGATTATGGTGTAAACAGTAGTCCCCCAAGTTCGCAGTCAAGAAGTAACTTCTGGGTTGGGAACTTGTGAGTTTTTTGTGTAATCGTGACTGAGCATTCCAAATTCAGTAAGAGCCGTAGGGCATTCCCTATTCCCTCAAGTTGGCAAGCTAGAAGTTGCATGAACACTTGGAATGTATGGTAAAAGCTGTGTGAGCCTTCAGAACCGTAGGTAGCTGGGTACTTGGGTTCTCAGGAAGGAGGCTGGGACTGGGGTGGGTATTGAAGCTGGTAGAGGATCAACAAAAGTGTTACGTGCCAGGGTGGTTGGGCCACACTTGGAATTAAAGTACTCAGCCTTGGCGTGAACTGCTATCTGCTTCATTAGCTCAGCATATGTGTTCCAAGGGTTGCTGTGGACCAGGTACCGAAATTTAGACTCGTAAAGGCCATTCTTGAAAGCACTGAAGGCAACGCGATCATCAGTGTCTGGGCAACGAGAGTATTCGTGGCTGAAGCGAGCTGCATACTCCCAAAGAGGTTCATCCTCACCTTGCCGAAGCATGTACAAGTCATCTGTGGAGTACAGACGATCAATCTGGATCATGAAATGGTCCAGGAAGGTCTGCTTCAAACTGTCAAATGTGTTGATAGTGCGGGGGTTCAGCCTGTAGAACCAATTCAGACTAAGGCCCTTGCATCCAAGGGAAAACTGGAATGAGTGGATATGGGTGAGAGGATCCTCCGTGCTAGTGTAGAAGGCGATGCGGAGTGGCTGAATATCATTCTCCTGGTGGTAATTGAGGATGCGTTCGATGAATAGCCCAGGTCATGGCTTCGCCCAAAGGGGCTGGTGGCTGCGGTGTTGCTCACCCTTTAGACGCCGAACCTTCTCAAAGAAAAGCCTCATGGCTGGGTCGGCATGAGGGAGAGTGTCGGGTGCTAAAGGCCTAGGCTGTGGGTAAGCAAGGGTTGAGTAAGTTTCCCATTCCTTGAATGCCTCGTTGTGATACGATTCCCAACCGTCTGGATGGTAATGTTCCCAGTTATCTGAGTCCCCTGCACCTTCTCCAGCAGGTAGGTGGGTTGGCTTCGGTGGGGGGCCTAGGTGTGCCACCCTTGGATCTTTGAGATTAACAGGAATGGGGATGGGGTCTTGCTGACGATCCAAGAGAAGGTCTTTGCAATCTCTGTAAACCTTCATCAGTTCATGGGGCCGGTCCTTCAGCGGAGAGATGTGAAGAAGCTGCGACTTGGTCGTCTCCAGATGAAAGGGGCCTTTACCCTTGCTGAGCCTAGATTGGACTAGGGCACTATGGCGGGAGTGCATCGGCTAGTTTGGCTGGGTATGCTCAGCATCTTGGGTAAAGTCACGTTGGGACCCTTATGCCTAAGTCATCTCCCAGTTACACTTCAGCGTGCGGTAGTCATGATCCAGCAAAATGTTCTTGGTATGAAGATGTTCGTATTTCTCAGACATCTTGGCAACGCTGGCACGAAGGCGCTCGACCTCGGCCTGGAGGTTGACATCTGCTGAAGGTTTCCTTCGAGAGGTATCCCCACATGGGGTATGGTGCTGAGTATCGTGGCTATCATCGATCGGCATAGCGGAGTGTGGGGTGAAGAAGAGGCGACGGGGCCTGATGGAAGAAGGAGCTAGATGGACTGGTAGAGGAGAATGGGATTTAGTAGTCGTTTCCCACAGACGGCGCCAAACTGTTGATACTTTTTGGGAGGTCAACTTAGAGAGAAGTGGGTAGTCTTCATCAGGGGAGAAGGTGAGGACCTTCAGCAAGGGAAGAGCCTACATAAGACAAAGTAGGAGAAGCAGTCGTCAAGCTTCGAACACTGGTGTGGTGCCGGTCGAAAGCTCTCCGATGCCTAAGTCAGCTATGAATGGTAAAATTGGCAGAGTAACAATAAAAGTGAGAGAAAAGTTACCATTTTTACTTGAGTACTGTTCCCTATTTGTAGGGAAGTGAAAGGGAAAGGTTTGCACAAAGTTTCGATGTGAGACTTTGTGCAAGTCGTTGTGGAGGTGACACGTGTCTTGGAGATTAGGTTCGGCAATTTGGGAGCTTCAGCAGGTGTCTGGCACCTTGGAAGGGTGTCTTCCTTTGGCACGGGAGAAGGCATGTCTGCCTTAGTGCTAGTTGTTTTAAGGCTGGATATGCTCGGTTGATTATGGCGTAAACACTTCTTTCACAACTTCAATTGATTCATCATGTTTGTCCATTACATCATTAGATCTTGCGCAATTCTTGAAATCAAGGAATGCCCAATAAATTTGTGAAGTTTTTATAAATTCATTCTTGAAATCAAGGAATGAGGCAAATTGAGCCTCATTATATGTTGATGCTATTCGACAGCTAGAGGATATCTTCAAGAAATAAAGTGGCTACTGACAGAAACTGAAGAATTATTGAGTATTGCGTTGGGTATACAAACACAAGCAGAAGAGGATGCTGTGAGAGAACCGTTAGATCAAGCTGCTGTTGGAAAAAGAGTGCTAAATTGCTATAAAATAAACAAAATAAATACTGCACATAAAACAGATTTTTACAATAGGAGAATTGAATTAGAAGAACCTTAATTGAGTCGAGGCAAGTGTTGGACACTCTGACCTTAAGACGAATTACGCCCCACACTGGTGCTTATGGTTCACTAGCGTTTGCCTCCCAGGATATAACGACTCCCCTCCTTGTGAAAGAAGCACTACAATTCACAAGGAACTTTGAACCAAATTATGCAGGAACCTCTCTTTATGAAAACTCTAATGCTTTCTATATGTGAAAGTCTGTATGTAGAGAATTAAACTGAATTTTTAAAACTGCAGGAGGATTGCTCTATTTATAGATGATGAAATACCCTTTCTAAAAAGGTATCTCAATATGAAAAGGCAAACAATACATCCCTTGGTCTGAAGAGTTGTCACCCCAAACAATGCATCCCTTGGTTTGAAGAGTTGTTACTCCCCATGTGAAGATGTCTTTAACCCAAGGGTCATGTCTTTAACCCAATGGATTTTATTAATTTCCATTCAAATAGGAAAATCAATATTAGTTAATATTAAATTTTCCAACAATCCCCCACATGAATGGAAATTGACTCAACAACATGCAAACAAAAATGAAGACACTAGAGAGAGTCCTTATTAGAAGAATACTGCATCTAGATAGGTAGCTTTTGGCCTTGAACCTTCCATAGTGGAATACTATCGGATTTACTTGGCTAATAAGTGAACGTGATGTCTTGAACTGTTCAGCCGTTTGTGTAAACCCAGACAATAGCACTCACACAATACCCTTCTAAACATATTTGGTTCGATTGGTTGTGCTCGTTTTGGCCCTGAGCATTCCTGGTATTCATGAGAGCTTTAGAGAATTCAAGCCTTAAAAAATTCTCATAGAAACGGCCTCATTTCACACTCACATAGGTGACTTCCTATTAAGAGTATCATGCACTACCCCACTCGGATTTCCAAGCTATAGGAATCATTAAAATCAAAGATTACCCTAAAACACTCTACAGGTAGCACTGTTTCATCATAGGACATGGGTAGGAGATGTAATCTCGGCAGTGCTACTACTTAGTCATCCATAATTTGGTTGTCCCTTTTGAACCTAGATCTTGGGATCTCTAGTCAGCTAGGTTGGGTATCCACTATGGAGACTTTAAATATTTAGGCTTATACTCCCATTCCCCTCGATGATCAACTAACTCTCTAGTTTGACCTTTAAAAATTGGATCCACTAGGTTGACTATTTCTGTAATATATTGTCATCATAATTTCATATGTGGAAATAAATTCCATTCAAGAGTAGTTGAACGTTTAATTTATTTTGTTAAGACTTAATAATTGTGCTAACTGAGTAACCTTCTAATACTCAATTAGACACCCCCACATTTGTGGTACTTATAGGAAGGTCTCTAACCTTCTCCTACCTTGTATAAGAGAAATTTAAACTCTTATGAACACCAAAGCCTCTCTCCACAAAAACGTGGTGCTAGAAAACTTCCATTTTCTCTGTTAGGAAATAGAATTCTAAATTTTCCTTCATGTCTGTCACCCCCACAATTTTCACATAATTGTTGAAGGTATTGAGCAATCTGTTAATCATTTTGTCATATGCCTAAGAAGTAGAAAACTTTTACTTTATCCTTAAAGAATGAGATAATGGTTCTATAGTATTAGTTTATAATTTTCCTTTAAATCAATTTAATGTTGCATTAGTAATAGAACCATGTTTATAACATAATTAACATGTTCTAATTACCATACCCTCATTAATTGATTAAAGCAAATCATTATAAAACTAATTTTCCTTTATAAAGTGCACATCAATTTATGCATAGGGTAAGGCCTTGGTACCCTTTGTCCATATGCATCTCATTCTATAGGTAGTACAATGGAGATATTTATTCTTAAAATATCTTCACTTCTTAAGCTCTTTGTAATAGAACTACTAATTAGCTTTCCCCCTTTGAAACCTCAAAGTTTTCATACCAAGTACCTCTCACTACTTTGACTGGTTTCTAACCATGACCAGCATGGTTGCTGGCATGAGCTATGATTGTTAACATAGTCCTACATGGTTTCTCATTTCTCATACAGAGTAACAAAGTCCCACACAATTTACAAAACAAATTTTTTGCAAATTTCTGAACTGTAAACAAATTGATATGTCTCGTAATAGAGAGCATGTGGGTCTGTACACTTTCCCACATATCAATTCTATTGGACTGCAGCATGGAAATGCCTCCTGGATGATATCAATGTTGGTTTGAAAATGCTATAATCGCACCTTCTAACTTAAAAGAATCCAACCAAATGGGACCCAAAATCTGGTTATGTGTAACCGATGGACATCTTCATAGCCTTAAGACCCGTTTATGATAGAAAACATCAAATGGTTTCTTAACAGTACCTTGAAGGCATCCAAATCTGCATAATAACAGTGGAACTCGAAACCACTTAGTTTGGTTTGCAATTCGTCCTAGCGAATATCATAGCAACTTTTAGTCTGTTCCAATGCATGGAATTGCCACAAATATATACACAGGCCATGACAACTCTTAATTGATTATGACATATCCAAGAGTCATAATAGAAACAACTTAAAAATAGAGTGCAGTACTACAAATGCAAACCGTTTCGCACCTTTTAATGCATGTAAAATTTATAGGTTAAGTAATTGATAATAAAATTCAATATTAAAACTCAAACACATTTATTTTCTTCCCTGACTACGGGTATTCAAGGAAAGATACTAACCATCTTTCGTTTCCTCTTCTCAAAGGAAACCCAAACTCAAGGAAATATTTAACATAAACATACAGCAATTGTTCCCACGAGTTTTAGTAAAAACTAAGTTTATGTTACACTTAAAATATAGCAACTACACCATAATTAATTCGTCTTAAGATTGTACGAAAAAAGAGTGCTAAATTGCTATAAAATAAACAAAATAAATACTGCACATAAAACAGATTTTTACAAAAGGAGAATTGAATTAGAAGAACCTTAATTGAGTCAAGGCAAGTGTTGGACACTCTGACCTTAAGACGAATTACGCCCCACACTGGTGCTTATGGTTCACTAGCGTTCGCCTCCCAGGATATAACGACTCCCCTCCTTGTGAAAGAAGCACTACAATTCACAAGGAACTTTGAACCAAATTATGCAAGAACCTCTCTTTATGAAAACTCTAATGCTTTCTATATGTGAAAGTCTGTATGTAGAGAATTAAACTGAATTTTTAAAACTGCAGGAGGATTGCTCTATTTATAGATGATGAAATACCCTTTCTAAAAAGGTATCTCAATATGAAAAGGCAAACAATGCATCCCTTGGTCTGAAGAGTTGTCACCCTAAATAATGCATCCCTTGGTTTGAAGAGTTGTTACTCCCCATGTGAAGATGTCTTTAACCCAAGGGTCATGTCTTTAACCCAATGAATTTTATTAATTTCCATTCAAATAGGAAAATCAATATTAATTAATATTAAATTTTCCAACAGCTGCAGTGTTGTTGAGACCAAAACCTGCAAGCAAAGCATCGGTTGAGGCCTTGGAGAAGTTGGTGTTTGATGGAGAAGTAAATTATCAGTGTGTGGTTTGCATGGAGGAGATGGTGCGTGGGGATCAAGTCACATGCTTGCCATGCTCTCATTGTTTCATGGAAACTGAGTTGTCAAATGGCTAAAGCTGAGTCATACAAATAGGAGAGAGAGCCCCCTTCAACTTTAATTTTTACTACTTTATTTTCTAGAATTTTTCTCATATGTTTTGTAATGAACTCGTCAAATTAATGGCTAAAATCACATTCGTGATATATATTTGACCTATAGAAAATTGTTCTCCCTGATTTTTACCATAAATCATGTCAAGATAATTATCAATTGCAGGATTTTATGTTAACCACATGACACGCTCGATGATTTTACAAGCACCTTACCAACACACAACTAATTAATCAATGGAAATACCCTTTGCAAATATGTGATGTTAGCTAAAGGACAATTATTGCCTGAATTAATTCTCTGTTTTTGTGATTTTATGTATGTTGTATTCTTCTTTGTCAACTTTATTTGATTGAGGACGTAATGTTCAAACTTGTACAATATTAGCAATCAGAATTAATGGCAATTGTTTAATAACAATACTATAGCTAAATTTGAGGTGTAAAGTTACTTTTACATTCCCTTTATATCTCTAGCGGATGTAAATCATGTTTTTGCTTCAATGGGAGAGATGTAAATATGATTTTCTTGTATAAATACGTTTTTGTGTTAATTTTCTCGTGTGAAGTTTTTTTTTCTCAACAAATCCACTTAAATATTTTAAATTCCGATAAGATTTAGAAAATAACATTGTAGGTGTTTAGTTTTGAATTATTTGGACCATTTGATGGTTATGCATTTACTTTACAAAGTTGTTGGATCCTTGGATTAAATGCTAGCCATTGGGTAATTATGGGGATATGAAAAAGAAAAAAAAAGGACCCGGTGGAGTTTTTTAGGTAATTTTTCACACATTTTAGCAGCTTAGGTAAACGTCAATGAATCTGGACCTTCAATTTTGAATGGAGATAAAATCTCAGCCCTTAGGGGACCCGCAGAGCAGCAGCTGGCGAGCGACTGTCGGCCAAGTCGCCCGTGAAGGGCAAGTGGCTCTTATACAATTTAATTTTCTGAAGCTTAATTCTGCGGGCCTGGGCTTATTTGACATTGGCCCATTGGCCCAACATCTTATTTCCTAGCTAGTCCTAATGGGATTAGGATTATTTTTTCCCATTCCCAGAAGGAGTTCACCAACAAGTATAAAAGGAAACGCAGGCCAAGATCAAATACCAACGCACGCAGAGACAGCAACCAATTCTTGGGCAGAGAGCTTCCCATCTCTCTCGCTCTCTTCTCTTCTATCTCTGGTCGTCGTCGGCAACATGATGAGTAAGAGGTGCAGGCTTTCGTCAATACCCGGCAACCACCATGACCACGAGAGGGTCATGAAAGAGTACCAAGCCATGAAAGACGAGATCAAGGCCAGGGCACTCAAGGAAGAGTGGGACTTACTGATAAAGGATTACAACGTTTGCGTTTCTGCTGGTCTTATCCAACTCCAGTATGCTCTGCAAAAACTCTTCCGCGTTCGGGATGGGATAATTACCACTCTGTCCCCTGCAAACTTGGATTGTGTTTTTGGGCCGATGGATGACGCCTCAATTGTGCGATTGGTTGAGGGCCTTGGAGAAGTTAGCGTTTGATCTATTAATTGTACAATTCATAGCCAGGTTTTCATAGGAAGAATGCGAAAATTGTAAGACAATTATCATTGTCATTGCCTTCATTTTATTCTCTGTTTCTATGATTCTATGAAAATATATCTTGTATTCTTCTTTCACAACTTCAATTGATTCATCATGTTTGTCCGTTACATCTATAGTATTAGAACTTGAACAAATTTTTTTTTTCTTCGAAAATATGCTTGATTTAAAATGAAAGACACATCTAAGACGGTTCATTTGTAATCCAAACTTAAAATCAAGGAATGCCCAATAAATTTTTGAAATTTTTGTAAATTCATTGTTGTAAAATTTTGGAGTTTTTATATTTTTTATTTTTTATAAAGGGCAACACTCGTATTTTCTTTTACATAAAAATGTACAAAAGTCATGTAGCTTAGGTGCAGCTTGCTAATTGCTTCACTTACAAGCCACTACCTTCATTGCGGATTGGTCCAAGCCACAAGCTTTCAAGCACATACAATACTAGTCGGAACTTGCGAAAAACGTACACACCAAAAAAAGACAACAAAAACAAAAACAATCCACCTTAACCCCCAACCCAAGTGTGTAATAATACTTGGCAATAAATATATGGATTTAGTAACTTAAACTCTTATCTTTGAGACACATTTGCCCATGCACTTTCAATTTTAACAATTACATACCCTAAGCTTTTCAATTTTTGGCAATATGGTTCCGGCGTTGACTTTGACATCAAAAATTTCGTTATTGCATGGAAATCTTGTCTCACCTAACCTATTCACTTATTTCGATGTGAGTTGAAGAGTATTTTTGTGTAATTGGTGTCTTCCCACCCATGAAGAACACATTATACGCATTAATACCAAATCATTTTTTAACAAAATACCCTTCAACTGACATTGAAATAAGTGAATATATGGGACCCAAACTTGTCATGCAAGTAATTAACGAAAATTTTGACGATGAAGTTAATGCCAGAACCAAATTGCACAAAATTGAAAAGTTTAGGGTATGTAATCATTAAAATTGAGAGTGGAGGGGCAAACGTGCCTTAAAGGTAAGAGTTCAGAGTACTAAATTGAAATTAACCCTAAATATATTCTTTCAATTTTAGTTTAGTTGCACCTTGTAAAATTAAAGAAACTACAAGTTTCAATTGGTAGGGGCCAGGAGGGAGGTTGAACATATGTTAAAAGGATTTCCGTTTTGTGCTTTCACGTGAAGGTTTGCTGCAACAGCCATTCCATGTGAGGAGGCATGTGACCAAGCTACGAGTAGTGTTGACGCTTTAAGGTGACGATTGGCTGGGTTGCATTGGAATGAAATAAGGTCACTTGCAGCCGCTGCAAGGCTGCTCAATTATATTAATATTAATTCTGGAGAAAGTTTGGATGTTAATGAAATATTGATAGAAATGGGAATGTTGACGGAGGAGATGTCAGATGACCATCAAGCTCGACTGCTCGCTTAGGCCAAAGCCTGCAACAAAAGATTCGGTTGAGGCATTGGAGAAGTTAATCAAAATTGATGGAGTAAATTATGGTATTAATAATGAGTACTGTGGTCTGCATTGAGAAGAGTAAGTATATATAGGTTGTAGGACAAAGGGTTAATTGAAGTCTCTGTTTTAATCTTTTTTCTTCCTTTGTAGAACTAAGTTTGTCCGACAATAATAGTATTAGAAATATTTTATTATTACACTGAACCTTACACAAAGGTTCGATGCAATTTCTTTAATCATGTTGCTATATATATAGCTTGATTGGAATGTGTATGTTGTGAGTGAATCCTTGCAAACATGATGTTATTGAAGGACTTAAACCAACCAATGAGACGTTAGTTGAATTGATCTAAGTTTTTGGTGCACTCCCAAGTAGTCATGGATTCAAATTCCATAGAATCTGCTTGTGTGCGTGACATCATTATAATTTGATTCGAAATTCAGATTTCAACTTAAGCCAATTCAAAAATCTTTTTTTTTGGTTTTGTTTTGGTTTTTAGGGAATTGAACCAAGCAAAGGAGCATAAAGCTCTACAACTTGGAACCCATTTACATGTATTCAGCAAAAATAAAAATAAAAAATCTCTCAACAAGACAAAATAGATGCCCAACCCAAAACCACAAAGCTAGATATTTCTGCCACAATTTCTCATTCTTTTTTTTTTTTTTTTTTTTTTTTTTTTTTTTTTTTTTAGCTAATAATTACTTAATACCAGTGTATGATACTGGGCAATAACTATCCTTTTTCAAGTTTAGTTTGGTAGGGGCCAAAACGGAAATCAGTCATTGAGTAAAATTAAAGAAATTTAGTAATCCTGGTCGTAGGAGGAGTAGTACATGGATCACCATTACAAAGGGAAAGGTAATTAAAACAGAACCACACAACAATAAACCTTTTGCATCTCTTTTCTTCTAAGTGAAAACGTGCAGGTTTTAACTCCCTTTATAATGTGTATGTGAGAGAAATCCGTCGCTTGTAATTTAGATTATCGTTTTCCTTGTACTGCTTTTAAAAATGCAGGTTCTCGTTCCCCGAAGAAGCTACGACCCTGAATATAGTGTATTTGTGAAGGTAGAGAACAGAAGTTTCCCGGATCATGAGTCGCTTTCGATTCCTCACTGTCAGGTTTCAATTGCATGGAAGTTCATTAGAAGCCACCGTTCTTCTTTAGATACCGGCACCGACACAAGGCCGATTATAGACGTCAATACATGGCATGAATCTAATGAGAAGTACCCATTCGAGTTATTCACATCCAATAATACCTGCAATATTATATCAAACATGCTATCTCGCATAGACATCCCATTCCCACTAGATAGGCTACGCTGGAGAAAACGTTACATTGGAAACACAGAGCCATTAGAGGACGTTGAAGCTATGACAAGGAAAATAGTGCTTGTTGTTAAAGCCATGGCTAGCCAAGCAGCTTCTCACTCTGGACTTGGGAGGCTGGATATACTTGTCACCGTGGAGAAGGAGATTATATTACCACAAACACAATATCAATTAATGCAACTGGAGGTTCGGGTCGAGGATTTGAGGCAAGGTTTGGCCTCATTAGGACAGGGTTATGTTGATGATTTTCGGCGTTTGCAGGGTCTTCAAGATTTGGAGCTGAGGCTATTGACAGAAAGGAATCAACTACTTCGTAGGGCAGCAGCAGCCCTACTAACAGAGGAGGCTGCTGTAAGAGAGTCGTTGGATGAAGCTGCAGTACTGTTGAGACCAAAACCTGCAAGCAAAGCATCAGTTGAGGCCTTGGAGAAGTTGGTGTTTCAGGGAGGAGGAGGTGAGTGTGTGGTTTGCTTGGAGAAGATGGTGAGTGGGGATCAAGTCACGCGTTTGCCATGCTCTCATGTGTTTCATGGAGATTGCGTTGTTGAATGGCTAAAACTAGGGCATACCTGTCCTGTTTGCAGGTTCAAGTTGCCAACAGACTGACATGATGCAGATAGGAGAGAGCCCTTCAACTTTGAGTTTCTTTTTCTAGAATTTCGCTCTTATTTCAATCATATCCACTTTCGGAAATTAATCTTATTATGTTATTTTGTTATTTTGTTAATTAATCATATCCATACAGTGTATAATTAGTTAATTTTATATTTTGATTTAAATATTATGGTGTACTTAGATCATAGTGTACTCAGTTAATTTTAGAATTCGTTTAACAACACCCAAATTATTTTATTGGGTTAATATTTTCAGTTCCTATGACCCACCCAATCAATTGGAGTGTTCGATTCAAAATAAAAAAAGGAAAAAAAAAAATAGAACCGAAATCTCTAAAAATAATGAAATATGGCAACAACAAAAAAAACCAAACCGACTTTTAACCAAAAATAAATAAATTCAAACAACCAAGAACAAAAATGGCGAGTTAAACTTACCTAATTGTCTAAGGTTTATTAGTCCTACGTCAAAACTAATCCTCAATAAGTAATGAAACTGATTTCTTTTCCCAAAAAAAGGAAACTCATCCTAATCCTAGTAAGAGTGAGACATGCATGTGTTAGTAGTATGACCTTAAAGTCAACTAAATATATGATAATTAATGTTAAGAACATCTTATGCAATAACTTATTAAGTTATCATGGGCAAGACTAGTTGTTTTCAACCATGATATTTGGTATATTATCATAATAGTAAAATAACTATTCTAATCCAACTACAAAGTGTGGTGTGGTTGGCAAACTATCACTTTCACCTGGTAGGGGTTCGAAACTTGTTGGAAGCATTTTGTGGCCAGGATCAAGCCGAACCCAGAGTTGGGATTAATTCCACTCTTTTGGTGTGGGGACACCTCGTGGTATTTTCCAAAAAAATAACTATCATAATCTTAAATATGTTCCTGGTCGTAGGAGTATTAATTGGGTGTTGATATTCGGCCAAGACCGGTACACACAATATCTTGAAATCTTGAAAGAATAAGTCTTCAAATTGTGCCACTAAAGAGGCATAAAGCCCCAGCAAAGAGACAAGAAGTCCAGAGGCATGAAGCCCCAAAAACGAGCAGGAAAGCTTGAGCACAAACTGAGAAAGAAAATAAAAAAAAACCAGAGAAGAGAGATGGGGGGAGGGGTAGAGACCTCTTCCCCACAAAGAGGAGATGCGGCACTGGATCTGGAGAGCCCAAGTTTTGCTAGATTGCGGCGCTAAGAGAGAGAGTCCCCCTATAAAATATCTAGATTGGAAAAGAAAAGCATGATACTAAAACATAGACTATCTTACATGAAAGTCATACAAAACTTTTAGAGAACAAATGTTTAATTTACAAAACCAATTACAAGGATATGATTAGCTAAAGAGTCCGCAACCATGTTCGATTCAAAATATGTCTCGGTGACATTAACCTCTTGAATAAAATTTGAGAAGTCTCCTTCAATGACTAGAGCAAAAAAGATCAAAAAGCTAATTAGCTGGAGTAAAGGACCTAGCTTTAGTAGTACATAGCTTAATTGGGTGGAGTTTGCTTGCTTTACTTAACACCTTTCATTGTGTGCATTGCTACAAGGCACAATTTGCATGATCTATTTTTCGATACCTTCCAAGTCTAGTTTTGCCAAATCATGTTTCCAGCAAACTCAAACCGCCAAAAATAGTAGTTTTTGATTCTCTTCCCGTTGTCCTGTCCAACCCCAATTTTTTTGTTTCTCCTGGTTGTCAAAACCCTAATTATAAATTCCCTATGTTATTTGGTCAATTAATCCTCTCGCATAATTGTGTTTTGACATTATTTTATTAAAATTAAATCATAATATTAATTAATATTATCCTCTTATATCAACAATAGTTATTCAAAACATCAAATACTAAATTTTCCAATTTGGAATATACCGAGTTAAAATAAACATAAACATAAAAATCCAAAGGAGTCGGCTCAGTGAGTCACTCAACTCCACTCAGCCCCACACTCACCGTGACGGTGAAGAAACGGCAAGCCGACATCCTGTCTTACCCTTACTCCACCTGTTACTTCCTTCCTTCTCCTTACGCCACGCGTTACAATCAACCAAAACGTTACCGTTTTGGCAGGTGGCAGCGTCGTAAATTTAGTAATATAATATATAGCATCTTTGTTGTGAAGGTATAACTGGCTCTTAATTCTTATAGGCTCTGTGAGTTTTTGTCTCTGTGTTTGCGTGTGTTTGTGATTCCATTGATCGCCTCTGCGCATCTACCAGTCTTCATGGCCGCGGCTCTCTGATTGATCGCGAAACCCCTCACATTCGGCACACTCTCTCTCCTAGGGCTCCAAATTCCCCCAATTTCTCACAGTTTCTAACCGAAAAGGGTGGATTGGGGTTTGGCGCGGCCAGATTTCTTGGGTTTTTCAATGACCTATGACGAAAGTGAGGATCGGGGAGAGGTGGTGCCGGAGCTGATTTTGAGAATTGGGGGTGAAGATGACAAAAGGGACTATGTGAAGTTGAGTGGTGATCATGGCGATTGCGGACCGGCAGAGGGGGTTGAGGGGCCGGTGGAGCCCTCTTCCCCGAAAAAGTTAGCGTCTTTGTGGTATTGGGTTCGGTTGGTATTGTTGGTCATGTGCTTGGGTTTGTTGGCTGGGGTTTTTGTCAAATGGGTTGGACCTTTCTTCATGGATAAGGTAATTTGTGCTTTTTCTTTTCTGTTTTTTGGTATTTGGGTTTTGGGTTTTGGGTTTCGTTCAATTCTTTCATAGGGCAATGTATTTAAAACTGTGGTTGATTTTTTATTTTATTTTTGATTTCATACTGTCTAGTACATGTTTATAAAGGGCTGTGTAAAGTTTATATTGGAATGCATGAATTTTTTGTTCTATATGCAATCAACCTACGTCTAGTGGTTCTGCTACTGGAATGGTTTTTGATTAATTGTTTGCGTTCCTTTTATAAAATTTTACCTGGAACGCGTTTCCTTTTTGTACGAATAGCTCTGTCTTGCATACAAGGCACGTCTAATTTGAGTTTTGATGAAATGGCTACTGGGTACTCATGTAGTACTTTTTGGATTATAATTTGGAGCTTGTGGTGAACTTTGGAAATATTTATGGCTGCAGTCATTTATGTGGCATACAAATTAAGTTGAAGCCCACTTCAGAACAAAGTTCTGCTTCCCCTAGTCTGTTTTCGAAGGTTTAAGCTGAGTTTTAATTATATTACTCTAGATAGTAGATAATTTCATATCCCTGTTAATTCATTGCATGGTGTCTGCCCAAAATAATTGTTGCGTTGATGAAGAAACATAGGATATTAAGAATGCAGTACTGCTATTAAGTCTTATCTTAAATGGTATTATAAATGATTGCTGGTTACTTTTCCTGTTCCAACTAGCTTTGTTTCCAACTTTGAGAGATTGTGACGTACTTCCTCATATGTAAAGTCTTTTACTAGCTAACTAATGATGAAGTCGTTTACAGGAGATTATTCCAATTATAACCTGGGAGACAAAGACATTCAGTACTCCAGTGCTTGCAGTTCTTGTCTTTGCTTCTGTTGCATTATTTCCCACCCTACTTTTACCATCGTCACCTTCTATGTGGGTGGCTGGTATGACTTTTGGTTATGGCTATGGATTTCTTCTAATCATGTCAGCAGCAACTGTGGGTGTATCTCTTCCATTTTTCATTGGCTCTCTCTTCTATCATAAAATTCAAGTGCGTAACCGCTGTATTAAACTTAGCTTCTTCCTTTTTTTGGGTTATTGCTCTCTCTCTCTCTCTCTGTTTGAAGGCACTTAATCTAATTTAACTTAACATTTCTCCATTCTTATGCAGGGATGGTTAGAAAAATACCCAAAGAGAGCGTCTGTTCTAAGATCAGCTGGTGAAGGAAACTGGTTTAATCAGTTTCGAGCTGTAACATTAATCAGGATTTCTCCATTCCCCTACATTATTTATAACTACTGTGCTGTGGCAACAAATGTAAAGTATGTTCCTTATCTCTTGGGGTCCTTGGTGGGAATGGTGCCAGAAACATTTGTTGCCATCTACACGTATGTAAAATCCACTGCCTCTCTCTCACTCATAGATTCATATGTGTTTTCATGTCTCTATTGTTAGAACTCGGGCATTGTTTTAAGACCATCTTATGATATATATATATATATATATATTGGATTGTGCTTATCCTAACTTATTTAGTAGTGTTTGGAAAAATATGTATATTTTGTTCATGTTCGTCTATTAAAGGTGATCTTGAAAGTGTGTTGAATCTTTTTCCAGAACTCATTCACAATTGGTAATTTCCTTGTTTCAGAAGAATGTTAACTCTTATGTTGCATTGATGAATCTCCATTTCTCATGTTTCATGAAAATGTGGGGGAACAATTAAGCAATATAGGTGTCACATGGTTGGATGGTTGGAAGTCACAGCTATCCTGACCTTCTTTAGTACTGCCCTGAATTGGCTTTCGTTTGGCACTGGCCCTGAATTGGTTTTCATCTGGCATGTCTTCACACCTTAATATTGGTAATGGTTGCCAAGTTCTATCAATTCCTGGTAATTGTAGCCACAATAAGTGCAGTGTGGCTGGCTTTGAGTAAACCACAGGCTTTTTGAACCACAAAGCCTATTTCTCTTTTTCCCCCACTATCCTTAACTGGTAGCTCTTCTTCTATTTCATTCTTTCAATCTGGTCTGTGCATTGAGCTGGTTGTGACTTGTTAGCAAAAGTTTGGACAGGAAAGGAGGGAACAATATACGAAATGTTTTGTGGGCAATAACTTTGGAAGTTCTCATTTTAAACTTTTTTCTTTTCTCAAGTGCAAAACAGAATACATCTGTTTCGTTCTTACCAATATTCCCGTATTGTTCTCATGGACATTGCTCTCTGTTTAGATTTTCAAACAATCGAATGTGCTTTAACTTATCAGCTAAGTGTTTCTTTTGCTTTTGTTGCAGTGGGATCCTAATACGGACATTGGCAGATGCTTCACATGAGCACCATGGTCTTTCTGCCCCACAAATAATCTTCACTGTTGTTGGCTTCTCTTTGACTGTGGCCACCACAATTTTCTTCACAGTGTATGCTAAAAGGCAACTCAAGGAATTACAAAAGGATGATGAACCACTATTGCAATAAGCTTTTGGTTCTCGTTTTTGTTGCAGGAAAACCATCTGCCGCACAAGACAGGCCAAAGACATGGTTGCATGCGGGTGAAGTTTCTTTTACCATATGACTTCATCTGTTATTGTTAATGTATTCAAAATTGATGCAATATGAACTGTGTGGAAGACGGAGGAGAAGAAGCCATGACATACATTCAACATGCTTGACACTGTTATACCACCATTTGTTCCTTAAAACAAGCGTAAATTTGTTTCCATTCTCTCTCTCTCTCTCACTTTCTCTCTCGCAATTGTCATTTGTATATGATTGAAATGATGCTTGAAGGATCAAATTGGACTCTTGCAAGATTCTTGACTGTATATAGAGAACCACTCATTAGTATATTAATTGTAGATGTTTTTGGTCATGTAGATTCATGTAAGCTGTATTGCAATATTACTTTCCCTCTCGCTGTTCTTAATGAGTTATTTTCGCACATGAGTCAAATTGTTATTGGCAAGAAGGAAGAATGGTTCATTTCAATGAAGGAGCCATGTAGTTAACGAAGTTCGAACCCCCCCCTTCTCATAGAGTGGATGAATAGTTTAGACTATCATTTATATTACATTAAAATAAATAAATAAATAAATAAAAAGCAGAAAACGAAGCCAGTCTCGAAATTTACAACTTGCAAATTACAATACATATGGCAGATGACCTTGAGTAATTGATGCTTTAATCAATGGACATCTCTATGGTTGTGCTGTTGACCTCGCAAGATCTAAAGCTTCCTTGGTTTTCCACAATGTAGGACTTCAACGTTGTTTAACAGATTATTGCAAACTTTATTCTGGCAAGGTTTATCTTTGTGGCAAATCATGCTTTGTTGACCAAAAATCGATAAATCATAACTTAATTTGTTACTATTAAAATAAACATTGAGCATAAACTTGTTAGAGATTCTGATTCTTGGTCCCAAAAGAAAAGTATGCTTTTTCATTTAATTATTTTCTCTACCAACAATCTATAAACCACTTTATATATTAATTGACGTACCAAAAGCATATGTGGGATTACTGAAATCTAAAATTTACCCCAAAAAAAAATAATAAAAGAAAAAAAAAGGGTAAGAGATTCTTGGTATTATATGAGTTGTGTGAATTGTTAATGATTGCAATGTACGATTTCTTTAGTAATATTCTCAAGTGTGTCAAGCATTACTTGTCATTAACTTACATTTTTCAGCACTTTCATGCTTTTTTACTTTATCATGGGATGTGCATCATCATGCACATTATTGTTTTGACACAATATGATAAACACTCGAAATCCTTACAAAATTGACTAAACTCACTCGATAAATTATTGTTTTGACATTAAAATTTTCTTTTTGTATAAGGTGTAAATATACTAAACGGTTTGATTACCTTGCTTTTTGATTTGAGGAACTATCTGATTTGAGGATTGTGACTTGTGTAGTTTTTATGGGTATGATTCTAAGGGGATCGCCACCCTAAGGGAGGGGAGGGCGGGGGGGCGGCTACTTCAGTAGTCCGTTGATCATATGAATACAATAGCCTAAACTACAAAGGGGGGAAGTGGGTTTCTCAGGCACACACTACCAAGGTACCATTGGAGTTCGAAATTAAGACCATTGATCTGCAAGTCAATTAGAAATTAATTGATTTGGGTTCAAAAGTATTAAACTTAATTAATTCTATTTAATTAGGTTAGCTAAAAGTCTAACCGAACATTTGATGCACTGGGCTAAACTAAGAAATACTAGATTAAAAACAAAGTCCATGAGCCCAATAAACCCAAGGTGAATGAACACTCGTAGGCTTTTTGATTCTCACACTCACTTTCACACCAAGGCAGGCATAGTGAAGGTGTTATGCTAAAGATTTAAATATTTCCCCTTGAAATGAACCATTTGCATGTAACATATTGTGTTTTGCTCAGAATAAAAAGAAGATTCGGATCCAATGCCACAACAAATGTATATGGGCAAACAATTTCTGCTGAGAGACACAAGGTGAAGAATGAATTCCACATTTTACATCTACCAAACCATCCTGTGCAGTGCTTGCGCCTGACCAATCAACCAACCCAATAGTCTATCATTTGTGGTGCAACCAGACTTCTTTTTTCCATTTTTTTTATAAATATTTCTTTTCCCTTTTCCATGTTCTTCTTTGTGAAGTATCCTTTGACGTAGAGGGGAGGGAATTAAATTGGGGCAAAAAGAATAGATATTAAAAAATTTGTAAAACTGTGATATGTCTTTTTCTGTGAATTTTGGACCACCAATGAAATTGCCGACGTGTTGCACTTCGGCGTATCAAATACTTTTTCTTTTCTTCAATTTTCTTTTAAAAGCAAAATTTGGGTTGGGGTCTGCTAAGTTCACTGAGAAGATTCTTCCTATCTTTGCTAGTCAAATGCAAAAAGACAAGATTTGAATGGAAGAAGTGATGCAAAACTCACATTGAGAAAAAAGAAGAAGAAAGAAAAGAAAAAAAAAATGAAAGAGACCCAGTTGGCCACGTGGCATGATCTAAGAACTTGACATCATAGTTAATGCAGAAGATTTGTCATTTCCAGCTGGAAAATATAGTATACAAATGCAACGTTAAAGACGACTTTTTCTTCTTCTTCTTCATTTTGTTTTGTATTTTAATGATCTGATACGTATTATTATAGAGAGAACAATTAAAATAGGGATTAGATGATTAATTATTTAATGATATTAGTTAATAAGGGAACAAATGTCTTCTCAAAGTCTTTCAATTGAAACGGCTCAATGCAAAAGCAGAGAGAGAGAGAGAGAGAGTTTGTTCACTTGTCAGCAAATAGTACAGACAAAAATTAGAAAGACCCTCTTCTTCTTCTTTCTTGCTCACTTTCTTTTTTTCTTCTTTTTCTTTAATTTTCTTGCATAGCAATTATGGTGGTGATGGGAAGTGGTGGCATGGTTGGTGGGGAAGAATGAATGCTGTGAAAGAGAGAGAGGCCCAACTTGGTTCTGAGAGAGAACAAATAAAGACACATTGGTCTTTGTTTTTTTTGGGTCTGAACTCTCTCTCTCTCTTTTTGTTAATTCAACATTATGTGTTTAGATACTACATAGAACATACAGATTAGAGAGAGAGAGAGGGAGAGGGCATGCACGTGGTTCAGCTTCTGTTAAGTGGAGGCGAACTGCTGAATTTTCAGACTATTATAAGCAGTTACATTAATTTTGGCTCCCACTCTCTCACCTGCTTCCTTTCCAGCCAAGCGAAGACAGAGGTCACTATTTTCCTCCATTTTTATTTTCCTTTTACAATTAAGCCCATAACTGCCTGCCTTCCATTGCTTCTCTGTTCTCTCTTCCTTCCCTTCAAGCCAAGCTCAAATTTTGATGCTTTGCTTCAACCCAGAAGACAAAACAGTTCATAAATCTTGGATCTTTTATTGTTCCTGAATCCTGAACCTTGACTGAGACAAACCCAGAAGTGAAAAACCAGCAGAGATTCTAAAACTAGTATTTTCTTTGTTTTTGTACAAATGTGGTCTAATTCTCAGAGATTTCTGCAATTCCAGTGAGACCCAGAAGGTGAAAAATGTTGCTATTTGGTCATGATCGTGATGGGGCATTTCTCATACTCGAAAATAAGTGCAACACTCAAAGCAAAGTAGCAGCAGAACTCGGATCTTATCTCCATCAGATCCAATTACCATAATGCCAAACGGGTAGACCCCTTTTACCTCACATTAACTGTGTTTAGCATGAGAAAGCTTCATACTTTTCGTCTTTCTCATGCTCTTTTATGCTTTGTTCCTTTCTTTTTGGCAATCATTGTGGTTTCCTCAGTAACTGAGAAAGAGATTCTGCTTCAATTTAAAGGAAACATAACAAATGATCCGCAAAATAAGTTAGCTTCATGGGTTCTTAGTGGGAATCCTTGTGAAGATTATCATGGTGTGTTCTGTAACTCTGCTGGGTTTGTAGATAAGATAGTTCTGTGGAACATTAGCTTAGGTGGAGTATTGTCACCGGCTTTGTCCGGGTTGAAATATCTGAGGGTTTTGACATTGTTTGGGAACAGATTTATGGGAAATATACCAAATGAGTATGCTGATATTCAAACATTGTGGAAGATCAATTTTAGCTCAAATGCGCTATCTGGCTCGATTCCAGAATTTATAGGTGACTTGCCTAGCATTAGGCTTCTGGATTTGTCAAGGAATGGTTTTACCGGGGAGATTCCATCTGCTCTGTTTAAGCACTGTTACAAAACCAAGTTCGTTTCTTTGTCTCATAACATTCTTTTGGGTTCAATTCCGGAGTCATTGGCTAATTGCCTTAATCTTGAAGGGTTTGATTTCTCCTTCAACAATCTCAGTGGTGGCATTCCTTTGCGAATTTGCGATATTCCTAGGTTAGATTATTTGTCACTGAGAAGCAATGCCTTATCGGGTGATGTTGTGCAGCAGCTTTCAACGTGCCAGAGCTTGAAACTATTGGATCTTGGTAGCAACTTGTTTAAAGGTTCAGCACCATTTGGGGTTCTTGGATCAAGCAATCTTACTTATTTCAATGTATCACATAATGTATTCAATGGGAAGATTCCTGAGATTGCAACTTGTAGTGAGAGAATGGAGTATTTTGATGCTTCATGGAATGAGTTAGAGGGAGAGCTTCCTCCGAGCATTACAAATTGTAGAAGTCTCAAGGTTCTGGAGTTGGGGTACAATAGGCTGAGTGGGAGCATACCAGAGGTTCTTGGGAATCTGGATAGGCTTTTGGTGATTCAGTTGTGCAATAATTCAATAAGTGGAACGATTCCAAAGAATCTTGCAAGCATTCAGCTACTTCAGGTCTTGGATTTGCACAATCTCAGCCTTGTTGGTGACATACCTGATGATATAAGCAATTGCATGTTTCTTCGTGAGCTGTGAGTCCAACTACTATAACAACATTTGTTTAAATTTACATGAAGACTGCTTTCAATCTAACTTAGAAATATTTTATGTTATTGTTGCTGCAGGGATGTTTCTGGTAATGCTTTGGAGGGAGAAATACCTCAAAATCTTTACAACATGACTTACCTTGAAATCCTTGACCTACATAAAAACCAGCTCAACGGAAGCATCCCACCAGACCTAGGAAACCTGTCCAAATTACAATATCTGGATCTGTCACAAAATTCACTCTCTGGGCTAATTCCTTCTTCCCTTGGAAACCTAACAAAGTTGACCTATTTTAATCTCTCCTCCAATAAACTCTCAGGCACCATTCCTACAGCTATTCAAGGTTATGGCTCTTATGCATTTATTGACAACCCCTTCCTCTGTGGTGCCCCTTTGGATAAGCCTTGCTCAGCAAATGGCAATGGTACTCTAACTCCCACTTCAAAAAAACCCAAGGCTCTTCGTGTGCCTGCCATAATTGCAATTGTTGCCGCTGCAGTGATTCTTAGTGGAGTATGTCTGGTATCAATTATGAACATCAGAGCCCGCAGAAAAAAGAAAGCTGATGTGACAATGGTTGTTGAGAGCACGCCACTTGGTTCAACTGATTCAAATGTTATAATCGGGAAGCTGGTTCTCTTCAGCAAAAGTTTGCCCTCAAGGTACGAAGACTGGGAGTCTGGCACAAGATCTTTGCTTGGCAAAGAATGTATTATAGGTGTTGGATCAATTGGTGTAGTGTACAAAACTACTTTTGAAGGTGGCATCTCAATTGCAGTTAAGAAGCTTGAAACTCTGGGAAGGATCAGAAACCAAGATGAATTCGAGCAAGAAATTGGACGACTGGGCAACATTCAGCATCCCAATTTAGTAGCATTTCAAGGTTACTACTGGTCCTCAACAATGAAGTTGATGCTATCTGAATTTGTCCCAAATGGGAATTTGTATGACAATCTACACGGTCTTCATTATCCAGGTCCAAGCACTAGCAGAGGCAATAGTGAACTGTATTGGTCTAGGAGATTTAAGATTGCTGTAGGAACGGCGAAAGCTCTTGCCTACCTTCACCATGACTGTAGACCTCCTATTCTCCATCTCAACATTAAATCCACTAACATACTCTTGGATGAGAAATATGAGGCAAAGTTGTCTGATTATGGGTTGAATAAACTGCTTCCCATTTTGGATAATCATGGTTTAACCAAATTCCACACTGCTGTAGGGTATGTTGCACCAGAGTTGGCTCAAAGTCTGAGACTAAGTGAGAAATGTGATGTGTATAGCTTTGGAGTAATTCTTTTGGAATTGGTCACAGGGAGGAAACCAGTAGAGAGACCAACCGCAAACGAGGTGGTGGTTTTGTGTGAATATGTTAGGGAGTTACTGGAGAGTGGCTTTGCTTCAGATTGCTTGGACAGAAGCTTAAGGGATTTGGTAGAGAATGAACTGATTCAGGTTATGAAATTGGGGTTGATTTGTACATCTGAGCTCCCCTCAAAAAGACCAAGCATGGCTGAGGTTATTCAGGTTCTTGAATCCATCAGAAATGGATTGGAGTCATAGTTATCAAAATGAAATTCATGAATTATGCGTTTACCTCAGCATCAGATCAATGATGCATCTTCGCCAGAGCAGAGGTCACAAGATAGTAGTTTACCTGAGATGAAGCCTGGATTAGGTGGGGTGACTAGAAGGTTTTACATATAGGAAAAAAAAGATAAAATTCATTGTATTCATTTGGGGTTTTACCAAAATCAATTGTTTTTTTGCATTTTTCAATCTTGCAAATAAAAAACATTCATTTACTGTATGTCATCAATAAGACAATTGCTTATGAGAAGTGTAGTAATACTTTGTTCTGGCTTCATGTGCAAACATAGACCTATTCTGTTTTTTGTTTCTTCAAAGGTAGACAGAGTCTTCAGGGCCCCCTTAATAATGAGAATTAACTACAGGAAATAACCAAATGTCTTCCTTTTGGTTTGATTGCTTTTACTGCCACCCCTCATCTCATCCCCTTTGAATGAATGTTTTAATTACAAATTTATCCCTATATGCAGCCATGAGCTATGGGCAAATGTACAGGGAAAAATTGTGTAGGAAGCATGAGTCGTCTTAAACTGCCAGATCCAAAATCAAATGACTTCCAGATCTTGTCACGTGAACCCTGGCACAAGTAGCTTCAGAATTTTAAGATATATTATATTGGACTGGGTCAATTGGAAATTTGATTGCACTTTTAGTTCCTGGATTCCGGGGGAAGTTCTGCTTTGACCAGAGACAAAAGTGGCTTTGAAGCTACAGCAAGAGCTATTCCTTTAAAAATTTGTATGCAACCTGAACCTGGAGAACGAATGAACAATATTTCAACTTTGTAATTTACAGTTTTCGGAAATTTTCCGAATTCGATCCATAACAACAGGAATATCTTTTTCCGTCAATGTCGAAAGACAAAACCGGAACCATCCGGGTTCAATACAATGACATGAAGATCCGGGAGTTACATTTACCTTAGCTACATTCAACAACCTATCCCAGAGCTCAAGCTCCCCTTTCTCATTGTAAGAGCGGATTAACCCACTCATGTCAGCCCAACAGCTGAAACCTCCATTGCTCTTTGTACACTCAATGCCCAATTGCTTCAACCCTGTCAGAAATTTAAGGTGCATTCCTCGAAGTCTCTCTCTATTGGCATCAATAAACTTTTGGACAAATTTGGTGTCTGAAAGCATAGAGCTGAGCAACTGTTGGGATGGAGTGGAAATGGACGAGAACCTTGTTAACCTTTTAGCAGCAGCCAGCACATTCTTGTTAAAGGAGTAGATAACACCCGCCCTAAAACCTGGAAGAGAGAGGTCTTTAGATAGACCATATACTATATGTACTCTGTTCTGGTCGAGGTCCTCCAATTCAACGATATCTGCCATGCTTACAAACTCTTCACTTCCATGTGTGGATCCAGCAAACAGCTCATTCGAGATTATATGTATGTTCTTCTCTCGGGCAAAGTCTAGGAGGTTGTAAAGTGATTCACGACTAAACAAAGTGCCAACAGGATTTGAAGGATTTGAAATTATAATCCCTCGAACTTTTAAACCGCGTTTCTTTGCCTGGTTGAATGCACGGTCAAGAGCAGTTACACTCAAATTGAATTTGTCAGCACTACGGCATGGAACAGTTATTATTTCGACTCCAGTTCGCCACTTTATATCTTTGTCCAAACTGCAAGTCATGTTCGGAAAGTCAGAAAATATTTAGCTTACCTACGGAAACTCTTCAGAAATGTTGAGATTAGATAATAGTTATTACCCAGGGTAATATGGTGCAGGAACAAGAAATGCATTTCCACTGTCTGCTAGGCAGAAGCTTAGTATCTCAATGGCAGCGGTCGCACCAGCTGTCAATACTATTTGTGAGGGGTTAAAGGAAACTGAATTTTTCATGACTTGAGACATGAATCCTGCGACAGCCTGTAGGACTAGAAATATTAGAGAGGGCATAAAATCTCAATGCAATACAAAGAGATTATCTTCAACAAAGAAGACATCAGAAACACCGTTCATGGGAATAAATTCTATATTGGATCTCAATTGCAACATCCTTTAAGTACAAAAGTAAATGCATATACATCACAAAAACAAACCTGCACATTGCATAACAGATTAATGTCTGACCAGCGACCTATAATTCCTCCAGAGAGGTAACAAAAAGAAAAAATACCAGTCCAAATTGATCTAGTTAAAGGTGCAAATAATCAACCATCAAGTTACAAATCATTCAGATAAACATTGAACTACTCCAAAAAGCCCCTTAACAGAAGTTGTGTCAAGAGACTTTGCCACATTGATACAGCCAAAATTGAATACCGCCTAAAGTTGAACATAAATTTTGAAAGTAAGGTACATATTCCACCAAGAATTTAACCATTGTCAGTCACCCAAAAATCAAGTGTTATTCAGTCAAGAGACTTCCCCATTTCGATAAACCACAAAATTTGTAAATTGCAACTTGTGCTGGACGTAAATTTTGTAAGTTAGAAGCATATTCCACCAAAACCTCAACCATTTTCAGTCATCAAATCAAGAGTTATTCAAACAGAAAGCCAAAGACAAAAGTCGATTTCTTTTTAAGCACTCAGCAATATGCAAACTACAGAATATGCTCCAAAAGTACAAAGTTATGTAAAATCCAATTAAAACATTTGCATGAAAATACAGAACATATAATGATGTCAGAGAAAATATGAAACATACCACTTTCAACTCCATGAAGCCATCAAAAGGCTGGTAACAAGCAATCCCACTTATGCCCAGCTCCCCGCCACCCAAAATTGCGTCCTCTGCATTCTCCACAAGCCAATCTCGAACCAAGTCCAACGATAGCTACACACACCAAAATACAACAAACACACCATATACCAATCTTTCTTTTTTTTTTTTTTTGTTTTTTTTTTTTTTTTTTTTTAAATTTTTTTGAAAAGATGAAAAATGCTAAAGCAAAAGACTTGAAGCAACACAAGCCAAAGCAACCTCGAGTCTGGACCCACCTTATTTTCATCCAAACCCAGCTGAATGACCCCATCCGGATTGCCCAACTCGTCATACGGATCCTCCGATACCTTCCTTAACCCAACCTCGTACGGCGACTGGCCACCTTTCAAAACCGAATTGGCCCGAGCCGAAACGTAAACGGGTCCTCCGGGACATCTTGGGGAGAGGAGGGTCCGAGACAGGGACCGTGGCAGAACGGGTAGTTCCACCAACGGCCCAGCCGGCTCGGAGTCGGGAGAAGGCGGAGGCGTGGGCGGGTTCGGGTTCGAGCGGTGTCGTTTCAAGTATAGCTGGAGGAAATAGAAGAGAGCGCATGGGATGACGGAGCCCAAAACGAGGCCTCCTCTGCCTTGAACCACGCCCTGCAGAGGGACAATAACTCTCATGGCGGTGGTGACTCCCCCGCCGCCGGTGGGTTTGGAGCGGTTGGTGTCTGGGTCGGGTTCGGAGGAGAGGAGCCGGGTTCGGGTCATTCTGGAGACATGTGGGCGGGGTTAGAATTGTGGGTTTTCGGGTCGTCGGAGAGTACAAAGCTTGAAGAAGAAGAAGGAGAAGAAATGGAGGAAGACAGCAAAGAGGGCAGCAAAGGCCGAAAGGGCGTGTGTGTGTGTGTGGGTGACAGTGTGGGCGTTGAGTGGCGAAATATTTGGGCTTTGGGAGGTCTTAGAAAAATTATTTTGTTTGTTATGTTATGTTATACGCTCCGTTCCTTTGTTTGAGGCGAAGATTGGATCTAGTCGTTGGGATTTTTGGGTGGGATTTTGCTGAGGGAGTTTACTCATATAGCCTTTCAAAACTAGTTACTTGCTCTTTTATTTTTATTTTTATTCTATTTATTTCCTTCATTTTATTTTTTGAATGAAAAAAGAAAACCATGTTCGATGATCAGATATTATGTCTAATCACGTGGAAAACTACGCATATTGAGTGCATTTAGTATCATATGTATCACATATATTTGAGTGTTTTTGTGCTTGTGAGAATTTAAGAGTTCGAATTATGATGTTCAAACAACACTCACTATTTTAGTACTGTGTAAGTTATATTTACTTTGCTTGCTTCTTGAAACGTAACTAAATCCTTATTCTTGTTTAAGCCATATTTGAATAGGTTGAACTAAATTGTTTGAGTATGGCATCAAATCGGACAACATTAAACCACTTAATTATTATCATAATCGTTTCATTCTTATCATGATCATTTTATTTTATCAAATGAAACGTATTTGTTCGATGATCAAATCATTTGTAGGAATGACCATAGATAAAGTATCTAAACGATAAATAATTTCCATCATTAAACTAGACTGTAGAGTGATTAGAAAGAAAGAGAATATAAACATATTTTTAACAATAATGCTACATTATTGTCTTTTTAATAAGTGAATGTGCATTCTAGATCCTACTTGGAAATTTGAGCATTATCGAATCTGATTGTAAAACCTCAAGTCTCCAGTGACAACTAAAGTCCGAAGTGATTTGAGCATAGCAAAGAAAGAATATATCTGAATCTGAGATACTCTGGTCACGGACCAATTGCCTATTTAGGCATCTCCTCACATGGAATTAATTCTTTTTAAAACAAGTGGTGAAATGGACACACACCGATTCGGTTAAAAGTTGAATTCCCCATTTCTTTCTTTGTGCTGACCAATTCGGTCAAATGGACACACACACCAATTAGGTCATCCCTAATATTATAATTGTCAATTCCAAGCCAAATTTACCATACCATTGATTTCAAAGTACAGAATTAACTTTGGGTTTTGTAGTAATTTCGGCCACACTAATTTAATAATATATTCAAATATTATACAATATATTGGGAGACAACAAAACATTGTTTATATCTGACTCACTTGTACGGTTCTCCCATGATTTGAAATCCCAATGGGGGGTAGGAATCTGCAGACTAAATAATTGATATATGCTACCAAAGTCCTTCCCTTGGTTGGCACTAGAAACAAGCCTTCGGTTTTGTCCCTTGTCATGGCCACCACAAACCACAAGTTAAGCAACCAAAATTGAAGTCTGGGATTATCACCACAAAATGAAATCTATTCTCCTGGTACGTCTACATGCATGGCTACAAATCTCCTCTTATCTATGAATTGTCATTATTACAAGCTTTTAAGGATCTTGTTGTTTTTCTCGGACTTGTGAGCTTTTGGTTATGCCAATTTGTTAAGACATTGTATTGGATCTATTACACCCGAGTTTAACTCTCCCTTCTTATGATATATAGTAGTTTATATATATATATATATACAGTACTTTCTTTAAAACAAAAAGAGGAACATATATTTAATTATATGAGCATCTTTGAGTGTAAAACTGGGAGTTGGAGACAACGCAGGCAAGTATTGCAAGCAACCCAATTTGGTTGAACTACTGGATAGATGGTTATCTGCACAAGGTTGATTACATTATTCCCGGGTATATATTTATTTGGGAGCACGCAAGAGCTTTCAAATAAATGAGTTAATGCTCATCCTTTTGGTTGTGGTTGCCCAAAAAAATTGCTTTTGAATGTGACTTATGGTTCGTGATCCAAAACTTCGTTGCATTTTTAAACTAAATGACAGATTTTCATGAAAGGAACTTTTAGGCTCAAATGAGTTAAAGAAAAAAGAAAATATTTTCATAGATTTTAAAATTAGTTCAGATTTGAATTCAAACATGCTTTTGGATATGCTAAACATATAGCCAAGATTTAAAATTGTTATCTTTAGTATATGAAAACTCGTTTTCCTTATCGTGAATCAAATGCAAAACAAGGCTTATCAAATGAATATGCTCTTCTACAAAGGCAATTTCCAGAAACGAAGAAAATGATAATTGTGTGCCTTAGTAATATTTGCCTTATCTTTTACTAAAACGGGACAAATTACTTCTCATATATGGAAAATCCATTTTTCACTAATAAGAAATTATTACATAGTACTAAAATAAGATCATGCAGTATAATTGGTTCACGCGTTGTAATACGGGTGAAAGACAGAGTACTTTCCCACTTATATAGTACACTATCTTTCACTCATATATAGTATATTATCAATATGGTATATATGGTATATTATCAATATGGTATATATGGTATATATGGTATACTGTATCAATAGAAATCCATATATATGTTAATAATTAAGCTAAAATGAGAAGAAAATCTTGACTAATGAATGCATAATTGATATAGAATGGCCAGCAAAGTCCATACGGTTTTTTGTTGGTATAGAATGGCCAGCAAAGTCCATACGGTTTTTTGGTGATTGACGTGGATGTTTGAGGCCTAGGTGCAAAACCTAGCTGGTCACATACGTATCTTCTAACAAAAAAACAAAGGCACAACTTGTTGTAGGGCTCAAGTGTGACTGGAGACTGATGGTAGTAATTTGGCCTACTGGGTTTGGCTTTTGCTCAAAATAAGTCTAGCCATAATTTCTCAAATAGCTGCCGGCTTTGTATTGGCTTCAAATATTATGAATTCATGAGAAAACGTGTCCTGCATTTATCAATATTTTGATTTTTACAATGCGTAATGCTACACTTACCACATTTTTATTCCACATTTTTATGCCACATGATATGGCATGTTCATATCACATGCCACATCAATTAAATCAATGATGTGTATTTTAATAAGGAAAGTTTAATTAATAGTTTTTATTTATTTAAAAAAATGTTAATAAATCATAAAAGAAAAGAAAATATTAAATAATTTTTATTGATGTGGCTGTCCACCTCAACTGCCACATAAAATAGTATAAGAATGTGGTAAGAGTAGTATTATTCTTTTACAAGTACCGGAAAAACGAAAGTTCTATTGTCTCATTTATGGAATATTTGAGAGAGAGAGCCCAAAAGACCCATTTGCTAAACAATGGCCCACTTCATAATATCATTTTATAATTAATTAATAAT